ATTAACTAGTTATGAACGCATCCTAAACTAGTAAATTGTGTAGTCTGCAGATCTTCTGTAATTTCTTCTAAATCTTATGTTAGATAAAATTAAGTTATATATATATGTTAAACACAATAATGTAACATTCTGAGTCTTGCTTCTGTGTAATAAATATCATCTTATGTTTTAAGTTGAAAAAAAAGTTTTTAAAAACAGATTTTTTAATTTGAAAACTTAAGTGGCGCAGTCGTGAGGGATAAGTATAGTTTTTTCCAAAATTGTACCGATTGAACGTGTTTTTGGACTAATAGCTGGCGATACACAGGCGTTATTTTGTGCGGTTTATCGTGGCGTGTTGGGATGTAGCGGTTAGTATGCACGAAAGAACGGCATGGCAAAAAAAGCGTCATGTTCCATACACTTTATAAAGTATTCAAATGATTTAGCAAGTGATTGCGCGCAGTATATCAGTTTCAAAGGAAAAATCGTATGTGAGTGGCCAAAAAGTGTCACGTGACGCGGAATGTGGCGTGTGGCGTGTGGACACTGCTGAAATGATGTACGCCACAATCCAGAGGAAAGCACGTCTGAAATACGTTGGTACACCGCAGAGGACCGCCGACGACAAAATCTATTCCTGGCCTTTCTCCAAATGTTTGGTACACCGTAAAGGACCGCCTTCAACAGACCAGGCCTTTCTCAAGTCCAAATTCCTTCACCTCCTACTTTTCTCCGTATAAGAAGTTTAAGATATTTTTAGGAATAAAAGTTAAAAATTAAACCATATAAAATTTTATAAAATATTAATTCTAATTCATTTTAAGTCTATGAGAGATAACGAATTAGACGATTTAAGTAATTTATTTTTAAATTCATTAAGAGTAAACGATACAAACGAAACAATGACTACTCGAACAGTAGACACAGTAAGCTTAAATATGCTTAAAATGTTTTTCGACACGATCCCTCGTTTTGATGGTGATGTCAACAATTTAAATAATTTTATTTTTGCCGGGCAATTTTTGTTCGACACGTACGGCTACACCGAAGACGCCAATTTAAAAAAATATTTAATTCGCGCAATCCAAACTAAATTAATTGATAGGGCACAAATTTTAGTTGGCTCTCGTTCAGAACTTAATACTTGGAAAGACATTAAAGACGCTTTACAAACTTGTTTTGGTGACAGGAGTAATATAGAATGCCTAGAACAAGACTTGTTTATGGCAAGATGCTTTAAAAATGAATCCCTGCTTGACTTTGGTAAGATTACAAGTTTTACGAAGTAATCTCGCTCAAAAAATTAGTTTACAAAATACGCAGCTTCAAAGAAAATTTTCATAGAAAACTATAACAAACTCACTTTAAGATGATCTTAATAAGATCATATATTCATGAGTTATCACCCCAAATTCAATGTATTATTAGTCTTAAAAACCCCACTTCTCTAGAGGAAGCATTAACATAAATAACTAAGAAATAAAACTTCCAATATACTCAAAATCTATTTAAAACCCCTCCGACACATAACGTAAGACCGACATTCTCTCGCAACCCACAACATAAACAAAATAATCATCCCAAAAATAATTAATTTAACCGCAACCTAACTATCATTATAATAATCCTAATAATTACAAATCCAATCAAAATTATCGTCAAGCTAACCATTTCCCAAGAAACTTTCCAGCATTACAAGCCCCAAATTCTATAGGATTCCCCAGCCAACCAATTCCAATTCAATTCCAACTCAACCACCTCAAGTACCCCAAACATTATTTTCCAATAACCAAGTCTTTGATTCCCCAAAAGGGCAGCAACAGCGGCCCTATGCAAGTCTATGGCCGCTGACGAGATTCATATTGCCCTTATTCAGGAACCATATGTGTACAGGGGCCAGATAAAGGGTCTGGGGGGTCTCAGCTCATAAGTTCCCAAAATCATATTTTGGTATTTACTCTAGTAGCAAGTAATAAGTTAAACAATATTTCCCCACATAAAATTAGTAAATTTGGATTAGCAAATACTATTGGTAAATCATCAAAATGGCTTGTTGGTATCCTCAATTCCGATGACGGACAAAAATATGACTAAGCAATTTCAGAGTTACAAAATAATCAAAATTCAATATCAAAAGAAATCTCTTTGCAAATGTCACTATCAACAAAATTAATTCAAAATTACAATTATACTATAACACTCCTTAATGAAAATCAAATTAAAAAACGTTTGGAATATTTTCAAATGCACGTTAATAAAACAATCGACGGCACAAAACACTTTGGATGAAATAATTTTAAACCGTCAAAAAAAAATTATTACTTTTCTTGACAACCTTGATAACGCACTTTTTTTGCAAAATTTAATACCTTACATAGTTCAATGATATGAATATTTTAATAAATAAGTTAATACATAAATATGGTGAATCTAAAATAATGATTCTTAAAAATACCTTTTTATATTAAAATTTAGCAAGTTTGTAAATTTAATTTTCAAACGACAAACTAATTTTCGCTATACACTTTCCAATATTTAAACCTGAAACCTTTGATGACTAACGCCTTATCCCAGTTCCAATCCAAAACAATGTAATTTTACCCAACCCAATAAATCGAAGAACCCTGTCCCGACATTAAAAACGTACAAATATGTCAAAATCACTTAGAACCAATAGTTGGAGATTGTATCGTTACCCTCATCAATGAAGCTAAAGCTATTAACTGCCAGAAAGTTCCAGTTAAAGTCATTAACCCAATAATATTAGAAATTACAAAAGAATACGTCATTATGATTCCTGGTACAAAATTAATTAAAATTCAACGTCAGTGCGTAAACCATGAAAACGCAGTTTATTGAAAATTCCTTACAACTGCAGTGCAAAAGTCAACAAACCAATTTATTGGAACAGAGAAAAAATAATTGCAGTAAAACTACTAAAACTTTCAGAAATAAACAACCAATCATCAATATGGACAAAATCAGAAATCTACAACAAGAACTTCAATGGTCAAAATAAACTTTAAAATACGAAATTCATCCCGCAACTTGGAGCAACCAGTGGCGTGCAGGACGGGCCCCGCAGGACCCGCGGTGCGGGGGGGCCCCAACCTTAGGGGGGCGTAGAGAACCACATTGGATGGTATAAGTGACAAAGGGGCCTCAGCTCAAAAATTGCGGGGGGGGCCCGATCACCTTTGCACGCTACTGGGAGCAACCCAACTACCCTTGCATTACTCCTCACTACAGCAATCATTATATTTCTTTATATAAAATGGTACGTTAAGAAAACAACCCCTGGAGTTTCAGAAAGTATCCACGAAAACAAAAAGCTCCCCTTTATGTTTCCTCTTAAGGTGGGAGGAGTTATGAACGCATCCTAAACTAGTTTAGGATTTTTAAATTGTATAGTCTGCAGATCTCAGAGAGTCTTGTGTCATTTCTTGGAAAGCTCATGTTAGATAAAATTAAGTTATACATATATCTAAAACACGTAAACATGTAACATTCTGATTCTTGCTTCTGTGTAATAAATATCATCTTATGTTTAAAGTTGAAAATAAAGTTTTTAAAAACAGACTTTTTAATTTGAAAAACTTAAGTAACTCAAAACAAGTCAGGATTTTATATGTATCTTTGATTAACCCGTAAGTTAAATATTTAATATGAATTAAATATAAAAATGTATAAAAATAAATTGATGTGATTTATCAGGATTTTTAAAAATTTTAACATTCCTGATAAATTTATGATAAAATAATTACGACAATGTTTCACCCACACGTGTATACGCAATCAATCAATGCATTTTAAAATACCTATGTTACGTGACATATATTTTAAATTATAATTTAAACGTTTGGTATTAGGTATGTGTTTTTAAAAGCAGAAAATTTAAAAATTATATTAATGGAAATAATAACGTTAATTAAAACATAAAATAACAAACTTAAGTAGCACACAAAATGGCTTGTACTGATACTTGTATACTTGGAATAAACAAATGTGACGGGCTCCGAGAAAAAAAAACTTAAGAGTCCAAAAATTATTTTTTGGATTATAATCGATATAGAAAAATTAAACAATGCTTTTTAAGTAAATGAAGTCAGAATAGTATATTCTGTAACAAGTTTGGAATACAGCATATTCCGCTCGAGTGAAGAGTTCACACGAGCCGAAGGCGAGTTTGACGGTTTCACGAGAGCGGAATATGCAATTCCAAATGTGTTTTAGACTATACTTTTTCTACGTTTCCAAAAAATACCATAGAAAAATAATTTAATTGGAAGAAAGTGAGGTTGGATCGGTCTAAAATTTGTTAGATATTAAAAACAGAGATGTCGCCACGAGTGTTCATTCTGTCATCCGATGATAGAATATTTCATTCTGTAACACTTTACGGAATATATGTCATTCCATAGATAAAAGTGATATTAGAACGGTCAAATTCCGTAATAGGAGTAGAAAAATAATTTTCTTTAAATATTTTACATGTATACTATGTTATAATGTCTGCCGTCCGTTAACATGCTTATGATTTTTGGACCGCCTCACAAATATATTTAAGTTTAAATGCATTGCTTTCGAATAACAATACATAAAAAGGTATTACATTTCTGAAAAGAGCAACTATCTTACTTACAAACAAATTAAATTATGCAACTAGTTATCCTAAACTATTTATTTAAGTATTTTTAATTTATTTGCTTGAAACACGATTAACTTTTGATTTTTTGATTTTTAACTTCTTTTACTTATCTTTAGGTGAAATATAATAACATGTTTTTTAATCCGGTTCTGTAGACTGATAATAATTATTAACAAACGTATTGCGTGTTGTTAAATTTTAAAAGATTTACTACTTAATGATAAATATTTATAACAAGGCAGAAAGACTTCGGTCGATAGCCTTTTGGTTTTTCCAATAAATATATTTACTACTACTACTATTTATAACAACAAGGGTTTTACTAAAAATATATATAAAACCCATGTTTTACGTTAGTATTATTCACAAGAATTAGTGGTGCCTATTGAATCAGATATTAAAAAACTGACTGTACGTTAAACAGTAAAAAAAAATTGTTACTTTAAAAATGAAAATAACGTTATTGTTGGGGTTTCTTTTTGTTGAACTAATTTATAAAGTTTCTGCAAGTAAGTACCATTCTACCTTTTTTGTATATATTATTATTACCTATTTACTTTTATTGTTATTCTCCTGCAATTATTTCCATGACAATCTTCGCGCGTTTTTTTAACTTTTTGTTAAGATTGAAGCAATTTGATACACAGGCATGGGCGCCCACACCTATGGGCCATGGGGTGCACTTGCCCCCCTGGAAATTTCCAACATTATCTGCAAAATATATTAATACCTAATGTAACAATACATAATATGTATATTAATAGGTATATTATATATACTTAGGTAATTATATGTTATTAAGAAATTTGCATGTTATGGAAATAAATTATTATTATATATTACTTACCTATATATTTTTCCGAACAGAAATTAAAAAAAAAACTAATTGAAGATAACCGAACAAAAGCTTCTTTCTATTATTTTTACCATTTTATTTTGTGAAAAGACCTAGCTTTAGAAGGAAAAAATAGTAATGAAAAATATATTATATTAATATAATATATTTTTCATTCATTTCATTTTTTCCTTCTAAAGCTAGGTCTTTTCACAAAATAAAATGGTAAAAATAATAGAAAGAAGAACACGCTATCCAATGGATATCCAATGGCTATCCCAATGTCCATATAACATCCATGCCTTTTACGATATCCATTGGATATCGTATAAACTGGATGTTCAAAAAAAAACAAAAACATTAAAAATATTTTTTTCTTTTTTAAAATAGCCCCTTATAGGATAAATTTATGTAATGATTAATAAATATGATTTAAATCGTTATTAACCCAATTTCAACAAAGTATCTCTAATATATATCCAATGGATAACTAATGTATGTCCAAAGTATATCCACTGTACATCTAATGTATATCCACTGGATATCCACTGGATATCCGGTGGATAACTGATATGGATATCTTGTATATATACTTGTATGTAAACATGTGGGATTTTGTGATGGTTTAAACTAGCAAATGTAAAAAAAACAACTTTACGGTAAATTGATTTTTTGCCAAGAGCTACGAAATTTTTAATTTTGAAATGTTCACTTTACCCAGATAATAATATTTATATATTAATAATATTATTTCTGTTAATAATATGATTATGACAGTCTGCAATACAATAAAAAATTACTTAAAAAAGTCCCTTTTGTTTATTATTGTATTTCATAGTACTACGCACGCGCTGAATTTGAGAATCTTCAGTGTTGCCGGTTATAAGCAAAATAACTAAACGAAATATATTTCCGTACTTTATTAAGTTTTAATAAATAAATTTAAAATAATTATTCACCACATTTATGTCAAATAGGTATACTAGGTATACTAATTAATTAAGTATTAAAGATTTAATAATAGAACCGCCATTTTGATGAGCTTTCTGAAATTATTTAAACGTCTGACAACACTGCCGGCGAACACAGAAGATAAAGAAGCGTCCTTTTTCTATGGTAGCGTCGGTTAAATATGATGCCATGATTGTTAGGTACATGCAAAGGGTTTTCATGTTTATTTGCTTCATTCCACAGATTGTAAAGGTTCATTCGCCATCATTGCTATTTGTTATATGTTTGTCATAAAGTTTATTGCCAAGTTATTGTGTTTTGTGGTTATTTGTTTGAGGTCTATAGTGGTAAGTGAATATTTTATTAATTTTCTAATCATAGTTATCATTTTAAATTGTATTGTCTAAAACTAATACAATTTTAAATTAAATAGGTAGGTATATTTAAGTGTAATTTATAAACTTTCGGTTAGCATTGAAGGTAAAACATTAAAGGTGAATACATGCATGCATTTATATACCGTACCTTTATTTGTAAGCTATACATAGGCTCGAGGGTAACAAATGGGCTGATGGATTGGCCAAATTTTGGGGATCATAAGGAGACAGGTGAAATAGGCCCTAAATGATTAGGCTGATAAAAAGGCAAATGACAGCTGGAGGAGTGATGGCCATCACAAGTGAAGTCTCTGGCTTGCCGGCAAGCCAGAGACTTCACTTCTTTAGTTATATGTAGTTTTCTGTTCTATTTTATGTTTTCATAAAAATAAATATTTAAATTAAAGAATAAGACTTTTATTTTAAAACCCAATGTTATTTATTGAAAAGTAAATACCTATCAATTGATTCACCATATCCAATACAGATGACAACCATATTGCATACAATACTATATACACTGGGTATCCATTGGATATCCATACAATCTCCATATTGAATACAGATTACAACCATATTGCATACAATACTATATCCACTGGGTATCCATTGGATATCCACACTATGTCCAGGAGGGTCGGACATTTATATATCCAATGGTTATCCATTGGATATCCCGGATATCCTATGTATATCCTGGATATCCATAAAAGAAATCCATTGGATGTAATTGTTCCGTGTGGGTTGTTCATTACTACTTTTTTCCTTATTAATATATGGGCAAGAACAAATCATAAAAGATAATATCACAATTTGTTGTTGCGCTTGTATTGTTTTTTACTGTATATTTTGTATATATTTTAAAAGCAATGTACACTGCAGTGTACGCTGTACATTGGCCATGGTCAACAGCCAATTTGTTGCTGGTTAAATATTTTTAGGGTAATTTGAATGCGCTGATTTTAAAAATTTTGCTCAATCAGCTTTTGTTTTTAAGATATTGTAAAAAGATGTTTATTAGATTGCAAAAATTTAAATAATTATATATTTTTTGAAATAAAATACTTTAATAAAGCATCATTGGTAATGTATCTATGGTCCTAATTGACCAAAATTAAATTATACACATTCAAGTTTTTCCCTCAAAAATTATGTTTTTTACTAAATAAAATCGTTTTTTGCAAATTTTTCAAAATGTCTAAAATTTTATTTACCTACAGTACCTAATTTTCGCTCCTGGCGTTTGTACAACTTTTTAAATAAATTCTGTGAAAGTAATGAATTAAAATATGTATTTGTACGAGTTTTTAAACAAAAAACAATGACACTGTTTCTTGCATGAGTCACTGCTAAAATATATTTAAATTTTGGTTCATTTTGACAATTTTTATTTGATTTTCGCAAGTACATAGATGGAGCTATAAGTTTGGTATTTTGTATTTGTATTTTTTATATTTTATTAAAATATCGCGTAACAGCATTTTAAAAATTACAGTATTTTGTCTTATTTACATTTTATTTCGTTAAAAACATGCTTTTTAAAGAAAATAACTAAATATATGTGTATAATTTATTGTTTTTAGTTTAATTAGGAGTTATCTGCATTACTTATGATCATTGGTTAAAGTATTTAACTAAAAACAATATTTACATACGAATTTGTTTGCATATAAAAAACGGGTTTCTCACAATATCGCAAAAATAAGAGCTGATTGAGCAAAATTAATATCATTTTTTTGTAATCAGCGCATGCAAATAACTCCAAAATAGTTGTCGGTTACCCTGCAGCAAACAGAAAATTTTATTTTTATGGCCTGTGTAATAATGGTGTTTGAACCCCCTGGAAAATTTTATACGGGCGCCCATGTATACAGGTTGTTTCATGATATTAACCTTACATTTTTTAAGAGATAATATAATGAGAGAATATAAAATAGAGATAAGATTTTGCCTTAAAAATTAAGTGATTGCAATGGTGGACTAAGCGGGGCCTCAGTCTAGGGGAGCCCCCAAATCTCCAAAAGTTTTCCACAGTCAAATAAAAATGTTCTATAAAGGCATTAGGACTTATGCATAATATAAGCGTATTACAGATATTACATAGTGTTATTACATATTACATACCGCATTTTCATTTGATATATATATATTTTTATTTGAAATATGTATATACAGTCGAGTGAACAAAAGTGAACCCAATCGCCCCTCCCCAGATGCGTTGTAACCGGACCACGATTCATTTATGGTTTGCATTTACTAGTGTGTATTTCGAGCTTTTTAACATTAATTAATTTCTTTTATTTAAAATTATAATGTTATATTATAATGTCCTACACATTGCAAGAAAAAATTGACATGATAAGCTTGTCTTAGTAGGCAATTTTCTACGTCAATCAAGAGCTTGTGTTCAAATATTAATTTATTATTTTTATTAATTAATTAGTTTATTTACATTTATTTTAAGATGTTTTATTTTTAGTTCTGTTTTAAGAGAATTGATTTATTTATTTTAATTTGTTTTCAAGAAAATTATTTTATTTTTTTATTTTAGTTTAAGAGAATTTTTTATGTTTAAACGTTTTTTTTAGAAGAAAACACTTTTGGTTAAATGCAAAACATTGTTTTTTTGAAAACAAATAATGATTTTACACCTTTAATTAATAATTTACTGTTAAAAGTGATTACGTTACATTTTAAGTATCTGAATAATTTTTAAAAGTAAATAAACTTAATAATGCGTAATTCGTATTAATAATCCAGGGCAAACTTCGACTATCACCCAACGCCGGTGAAGGGTTTACTGCTGAATTACGAAAACCGTTTCTCAGGCTGAGAATCTGAGAAAATTATTATCTCACTCTCCCACTCTACATGTTAAATGAAAGTACGGTATAAAAATAAGTATATTAAATATATTATTAGGATATGGCAATGACATACGTATCTAGAGCAGGTGGTGAAGTTGTGTGGCACCTTATACGTGGGCTTCATGATTTAAAATATTAATAATTTAAAGTTTAAAATATAAGTTCGCTAAAAACCACAATGTTTAAGTCCCTTATTATATTTAGGGTCTTGGGGGCCCCGGTTGCCGGATAATAAACCATTTATTTTTAATAATAAAAAAGGTCTTCTTAGAGAAAAACTAAGTCTTAGACTGAGGGGTCCCATTTTAGTTTGCAGCTCTTGGCATCCCTTGCGACGGACTAGCCCGATTTTTTTAAAATTTATTTTGCAAAAATGACGACAATTCAAACATTTTACTTAATAATTTGATTGATATTTTATTAATATTAACATTATTTATAGATTTAAAAGGTTATAGATAATATTACAAATACAAATTTAGTTATTTTAAAGCAAAGTTTTTAAAATGGATGTGTGGAAATGATTATTGAAAATAATAAGAATTATAATGGAATGGACGATTAAGAAGAACTACTTATAAAATTAATATGGCTTTGACGGTACCAGTTATAAAACTGTTTTGTTAAACTATGATACAGTGTTATATTTACTAAATAAATAAATAAATAAATAAATAAATAAATAAAATTACATACAATTTTAAATAAAAGTAGCTAGAACTCTCTTAAAATACGATTGTGGTTATTAAATGTATTAATAAATTGGTAATTCCAATCGTAGCAGTATTTGATTTTCTAAATCTTTCGTCTACGTGTAAAAATTATTATTATACATTGGAGGGATTAAATTAAATCACCAATATGCTTTATTATCTCGTCCTTTATGTTGAATTATTGTTGGCTTGTTGGCATTCTTCCTTAGGGATTATCTCAATAGAAAGGTATATATACCTTTCTATTGAGATAATCCCTAAGGAAGAAGTCCAAAGGCACGATGTTAGTGGCCAATTAAGTTCGCTTTGTCGAGAGATAATTCGATCTAAATACTAATCATTCAATAAAAACATTATTGCATTGGCTGTTGAAACCAGAAATGAATGAATAGCAATATTAGTTTTCGCCTTTGTGGCAACTTCAGTAGTACTTCAATGATATCAGTGTAAAAACCGTAATTTCCTTTCATTTCCGAATTGGAAAGAATTAAATATTTTTCGTCATCAAAAATAATGCGTTTATTGTTCGCAAAATGGATTCGTCGTATTGCTCTGCAGCATATCGGAATTCTCTGTAGTTGATTCTGCGTGTATTTTGGGCGTTTTCGTCTTTTGCGATATTTTAACTTTCTTCTTTTAAGTGTTTTGTCTAGTGGCACTTGATACATGAAATCTTCTTGCCAGTTTTCAATGAGATGTACCCACTTTGTGTCTTGCGATTTCAACCACTCCGTTTTCACAACTTCACTGAGAACTTTGGGTCGTCCACTTTTTGGTCAGTTAAAACAAGGTATTCCTTGTTCGAATTCAGCTACTATCCGATAGATTGTTGTCTTGGAGATATTTTCTTTTCGAAAAATATTTACAATTTCTCGTTTCGATAGCCGTTCAACAATGTTGTAGACAAAGAGAAACAAACACTTGTGTTTGTTTCTCTATGGTTGTAAATACTTTTTTGAATTTTCAATTTATGTGACATGATTTTGAGAAATTTGAAACTAATGTTTTTTTACATATCAAGGTTGCTTAGCAACGAATCATTGTGAACAATGGTAACTTGTTTGGTGCTCATCATAAAGCTGTAATAATAATTATTATTATTCATGTATGAAAAAATTCCCAAAACTTTAGATGCATACGTTAGTTCAACATAAAAAACCTTCCATTATTTCAACCTATTAGAGCTTGTTACTAATTGTCAATAACTTAGTATATTGTTTAATATGTATTTTATAATTTTAGCAAATATAGTTTGTTACTTTTTAAGTACAAATGGTTATGTATCTGTATTACCAGAAAAAATAAATCCAAATCTTTGCTCTCACATTAACTATGCATTTGTAAATGTATCTAAAGATGGTAGTCTGGCATATGGTAACGAAGAAATTGATGTGAATCAAAGTATGATTTTATTTTTAAAACATATTTTTTAAAATTTTATCACATATATATTTTTAGATTTATACAAAAGAGTTGCTGCTTTAAAATCTAAAAACCCGTACTTAAAAGTACTTTTTAGTATTGGTGGCGGCGATTCTACTGCAATGTTTACCCAAGTGGCTTCTGATAAATCTAAAAGATCTAATTTAGCCAATTCAGCAAAAAAGTTCTTGGAAACTTATAATTTCGATGGAATTGACGTTGATTGGGAATTCCCAGATCCAAATCAAAGGGTATACATTTACATATACATTTTTTTAATATAGGTACACTTTTTTAAAAAGGTTATTATAATGTCATAATACAATATTTGGTATTATATCCAAGTAAAAACTAATAAAATGCATGTCACAAAAACCATTTTAAGACCTCGCATACAATTTTTTTGTCAGGGGGGCCCTTGATTATAACCTTATAAGGTTTCAAAATAAAATCTACATTTTTAGTACTTAGTAAAATGTACTAAGCATAAAAAATAATGTACCCAAAATTTTACTATTTATTAATCGTGCCTTTTATATTTATTTTTTTTTATTTTAGTTAGTATTGTGTAGATCAAGATTTAATCATGTTAGGACTTTTATTTAGAAACAAATAGGAGGGCTAAAAAATATAAATTCTAACATGGGGCAAATAAGAACCGCCCTAATATACATGTATGTAAAATATACATTTTATATTATACATTGTTGAAGCATGATTTTAATTTTTCTTATAAAAGCAACAGATTTTCTTTCATAAAATTTTATTAAGATTACAAAAACGTGTCCTGACTAAAAGAAATTAAAAAAAATAACACCAAGCATTTAAAATTTTCCATGTAAAATTACCTTAAAAAATAGTTACTTTTAAAAAGTATTTGTTAGCGTTCACAACGCTAGACAATAAAATAATATTAAAATCATTAAAGAATTAATTAAAAATAATGTGGTAAAATAAAATATGGTAAAATCAGGGTATTAGATAAGATAATTTATTTATTTTTATGGTAATTTTATATACCTAATATACGTATTTTATCCCTAGGACGATTTTTTAAATCTTATATCTGATCTAAGAAGAGGTTTAGGAAGTAAATGGATACTAACAGCTGCTTTGCCATCCCAGCCAACTAATGCTTATAATTGTCCAGAAATATTTAAGTAAGTACAAAAATATGTAATTACCTACTTAAAATTTATATTTTAAATAGTAAAAAGACAATTTGCAGTAAATTTAGACAAAGTCGGCTTTTTTCTTATTTTTTAGTCACAAACTCAAAATATTTCATCTGCTCCAACTATGGTAACTAGGCTATTTTTATATTGTTTTATAGCGGGTTAAATTAAATTTACCGTGAAAGGCTGGTTGCTTTTGACGACAAGAGGTAAGCTACTTACCTTCCATGGGTAAACAATGTCTTAATAACGACAAAATCATAGCAGACTACGTGACATCCTTTAATGTCAAATTACTTAGTGTCAGTGTCAAAATAAATTGGTTAAAAAAGTATTTTTATAACCTAGCTGTGGAAGCAGATAAAACGTTATACATCACGCAGGAGGTAAATTTTGACCAGTCTCGGACTCTATTGCCAGCCCTCGCACGCTCGGGCTCAAACTCGTCCTCTACTGGTAAAATCTACTTTGTAGTGTAATATACTATTTATCTTTTCTAACAAAATATAGTATATTGTGCAACTATTGGAAGATTCCTCGATAGTGATAACCCCCCGAGTGGAATCTTCTTTTTTGATTAATATCGCACACAATATTTTAATCAAATAGCACAGAATTTAAAGCCAATTTTATTTAATATTTTATCTGACATCTAAAAATTGTCAAGCATTTGTAACCTTACTTTTTCCAATTGTAACTTAAAGCTAACTTCAGCCTGTGGACAAAATGCTAGTGGGCGAAGTAAAATGACGCCCGCCAGTAAAAGTTAAGAAATGAAACGGGTTTATATACAAAAGTTTATACAAAAGTGCTCTTTTAGTTCCACCCTTACTTCTTAAGAAGTCCCATAAGCCAACTGAATGGCTTGTGCGGGTTAGGGGTAGGAACGTACCGCGGGCTTAAAGTCCCCTCCGAAGGACTAATACACATTAGGACAAACACAAATGAACAGCCATACCCCTGGTGGGATTCGAACCCACGACCTCCGGCTTGTAGTCAGCATGCACTAACCACTAAACCACCGCCGGCGATTGAATAAAATATTAAATGGAAACACATTGAATAATCTTAAATTTTATAAAATTAATAAAAACTTTTTTTTGATTTTTAAAATAAGACTATATATTTTAGACTTTTGGATTTTGCTAACGTGATGAGCTACGATTTTTTCGGACCATGGAGCAAAAGCACTGGACAAAATTCCGCTTTGTTTCCGTCATCAAAGGATAGTGAATACGGGAAGAAATATACAAACCTAGCAAACACTGCACTTAACTGGATAAATGCTGGTGCAAACCCAAATAAAATGAACATGGGAGTTGCGTTTTACGGATGGCAATTCACATTGACCAATCCTACGGCTCATGGACTTCATGCTCCCATTATTGCAACTAAAACAACCTCTGCAACATTTACAAAGGTAAGATCTATAAAAACGAATTTTATTAGTTTATAGTATTTTCATGGCGATGCCACAACATATACAGGGTGTTTCACATTCATGGTCCATTAGAAGTTTCTGGGAAAGAAAAAGATATCGATTTGAAATTTTAAAAGCGTTTATAATCCATTCAATTCTACTTTTCCAAAATATTTTGAACAAAATGACACTTTCGGTTTGACTATAATAATTATTTATTTTTTAAAATATCAAACTTTATATCAGGAATACACTGTATCACTGATATAACACTTGAACCAAGTTGCATTCAAATATAAATATTTTGACATGAGACCCACTTATGATTTTTATTTCATCTTTTTTTTCGGATTAAGCCTATTTTTCTAAAATGTTTTGAATATGGGGTGTTTGAAATAACAAAGTTGATGTCACGTCCAGTCAAACCGAAAGTGTCATTGTGTTCAAAATATTTAGGAAAAGTAGAATTGAATGGATTATAAACGCTTTTAAAATTTCAAATCGATATCTTTTTCTTAACAATTATTGTTACTGGGTTTTGGAAAAAATTATCTAAAGATACCATAATGTTTACTTTCTATTTTTTAGCCACATGAAAACTTTATTAATCATAAAATGCAGCAATTTTAAATTAGGTATAACCTATTTTTCACAAATACTACTATGAGTATCACAATTTTGATTATATTATGATATGACTATGTTGACTTTAATTCATTAATAAAAGCAAATCCACCCATATTTATCAACTATAGAAGATCTAGAGTCCCTATATCTTCAAATTTCAAGATTTCTAAATAACCGGACATTTGGCATTTGCTGTGAACAATTCTCTTTTGTAATATTAAAAATAATCCTAAGTGATAGAATATAAAATCTGAATTCCATATCAAATTTTTAATAATCCTGCGTCTATTGTCCAGGGAGCATCTGACATATAAGTGATGGCAAAATGTTTATTTGAGTCTTAGCTCGAGTCTTGGCTAATGGAGGTTATCTCCATGAACTTATAAGCTACAGAACAAACGCTCCGGCCTGGTCCAGGACCAAGATTATACGCGTTGCCCATTAGGGGGCATCCATTAATTACGTGAGGCAATTTTGGCAATTTTTCGACTCCCCTCTCCCCTTGGTGAGATGTCTTGAGATTTTGCTCGACCCCCTCACCCTCCCTTAATCTCACGTGAGATTTTTTAAAATGCATAGTTTTAATGTAAATAAGTTAATCTCGAGTTAATCTGTACTTGATTCCATTACATTTATTAAAAAAACAATTTGCTTATAATTTTTTACTTAAATTAACCCAGTTTTCTCGCAATTTTACACTTTCTTTCGAAAAAAAAATTACGTGATATTTGCCCAGACCACCCTCCCCCCACGTGAGATTGGGTGAGGTTTGGCTCGACCCCCTTCCCCCTTAAACACCCCACGTAATTAATGGATGCCCCCTTAGGGCGTACCTTGTTTTGTGGGATTTTGCAATCATCTTTCATTCAAATACGCTCCAGGCGTATTAGACTAGAGAAATGAAGTCCGGGCTATGGTGGCCATAAATCTGACGTACTATGATGGACATCATAAAGTCCCACCCGGTTTTATCGTTCTCTGTCTGACCTTGCCGCGAATACAAAACGACCAATAAAAAGTCGCTAGGCACTGTTGTGAAAAGTGGGCTATACGGGGTTTAGGTGCATTTTTCGTTTTTGCGTTCGAAAATTTGTTTCCAGTTATATGTATGATGTATTATTCTAGCGCGCATTTCAGGACTCTTGGATAGAATTCATATTTCTACAACCAATGAAGTTAGTGACTTAATTTTTTTTTTAAACTTTTCCTTTTCTTTGACTACATTTGACTCGATATATATATATATATATATATATATATATATATATAGAAATTTTCAATAATTCACATAGCTCGCCGCAGGGTAAAGTTTTTGATGCACGATTTTGATAATTCTATATTGCAAATTTTTTTTTAAATCTTTAGAAATTTTTAAAAATTTTGAATTGTATTGAAAAGTATATATAAGTCTGTAAAAAATCCGAATTTTAGATTGTATTCTAGAATGAATACAAAGGTTAATGTTACGAATCACCCACCCTCATAGTGGAATAAATGCACCTAAACCCCGTATGATTTAGGTACTACAATTGTATGCAAATTTGTCATTGATTGTCTCGTATTTTTTAAAACTCTTAATATTCGACGATTGTTCATTGCAAACTTATTTTCAGATTTGATTTTTTAAATTTTTTAGATATGCAAGGAATATACACATTGGACAAAAGTATGGGATGATGAACAAAAAAATCCTTACAGATATTCAGGAGATCAGTGGATTGGTTACGATGATGAAAAATCAATTGCTTTAAAGGTTGATTATTTTATATTTTTATTATTTTATAAAATTGTTTAAAAACTTTAATTTTTAGACGCAACATATTTTATTGAAAAAATATGCCGGTATTATGATTTGGCATCTAGGAGCGGATGACATTAATGGAGAATGTGGTGGAAGGACACAGACACTTTTAAAAGATATTAATGATGAAATAAAAAAAGATAATGGTAAAAAATAATTGTGTGTGATAAATAAACAGGGTGTCAGAGCTGGGTCGTATTTAAGTACTTATTGAATATTTGAGTACAGTATTTACTTATTTAAAAACCGTATTTACTGTAATCGAATACTCGACCACTGTATTCAAATATGTTCTAAAATATGTATCCGTTATTTTTATCTGTAGCCTTATTTGCTTTTCCCACAAGATGGGTGCAAACTATGACAATTGACAAGTGACAACTAACTTAAAGCTTACTTAAGCTTGTGACTAAAAAGCCCGAAACCTGTTGTTAAGTTATTAAACACTCAACTTGTCAATGTGTATTTAAAAGATTACTTAGCACCCTATACGATAATATTAAAAAATGCATAATCAATGCGACAAAAAAGTTATTGATTCAGCAAATTCTGATTAATCAGAAAAAGCAATGACAAAAACCTGGATGGATTTTTGATTGCAGGACGATGAAAGTGGAATTATGTCGATTCGTAAATAAATTATTTTAAATATTGTAGCGAGTACCACTCTGGATCTCGCAATGTCCTTGGTGACTCACCGCCGCGGCGCGCCGGAGAGTCAACGCTCGAGCGATTATATCAGGCACAGCGAATCGTCGAGGAGTTAATCAAGCTTTGGTACTCGCGACGAAATAAATTAAATATACTTGCAAATAAATGGATTCTTGTACAGTAGTGATATATAAACAATTAGTGGTTAAGTGATTTTAAGTTTTATAGCTTCTTAGTGTTTTAATTGTAATTTAGTTATAAAATAAATCGTTTAGTTCGTTAATAAACCAGTGCGTGTTTTATTCACACTGTGAACCGATAAAAACGTTACGATTGGTGTAAGGTGTGAGGTTAGTGTGAAACTAGTTTCGTTAATGAATGAATGAATAAAAAACTTAAAAGTGGCGGACCTTAAGCAAGAACTGAAAGAAAGGGAATGTGAAACAACTGGAAAAAAGAATTTGTTTTAGCAGCGGCTTCGAGAAGCGTTGGAACAGGACGTATTTATTTTAAGTTCCGTGTAATATTCATTTAATGTTTAAACGACAGAAAATGCTAGACAATTCTAAAGATCTGAAATTTGATTTACAACAAAAAATTCTGGAAAATTTCAACGAGTTACAACAAAAAATGTTGAAAAATTCTAGCGGTTTACAACAGAAAATGCTATAAAATTACAAAGATTTAATAGTCGATTTGCAACAGAAAATGCTGGAAAATTCTAGCGATTTGAAAGTCGGTTTACAACAGAAGATTCTGGAAAATTTTAGCAAATAACATCAGAAAATTCTGGAAAATTCTAAAAATTTAAAAGAATATTTGGAACAAAGGCTACCAGAAGAGAAGGCTACAGCATTGGATCTTGCCCCACCGAACAAGTAGATTACGAAGCGTTGGTAAAACAACTGCGATATGGCCAGACACATCTGGAACATGTGTACCACTCCCAACTGAAGAATCGCTGCCAAAAATCAAACGAGACTCTGCAAGAATTTGAGGCTGATATTGCACGCTTGGTCCGGCTAGCATATCCATCTACTCCAAAGACCGTTATGGAACGATTAGCGGTTCAAGCCTTTTTGGATGGACTTCGAGACAACGAAACAGGACAGGCTCTGACATTGGCTCGTCCGAGCCAACTAGTTGACGCATTGGCTCGAGCTTTGAAATTCGAGGCGGAAAAGCAGAGCTGCAGGAGCCAGCCTAAAATTAGGAGAGTCGAGGAAGAGAAAGAGGAGGAACCCAGTATAATTGAAGCAATTAGGAGAGTTCTTAAAGAGAATCTACCAGAGAAGAAGGAATCCGGTGTTGGAGATGTGGAAAACTAGGACATATACGAATTCGTTGCAGAGAAAGGCATGTGGTGCCGACTTAGTTCCAGTCGAAAAACTCGATAGGGTCGGGGAAAAGGGGCTACCGTCAACCTATAACCAGCATGCCATGGAAGATATCGAACGTGTCTCATTTCTTCTACACCAGTCCAGCAGTGTTTTTGTGGATGGTTTTATTAATGGAAAATTTTATGTGCTGCTGCTGGATACAGGTGCGACAAAGACCATTATTAGGCCAGATATTGTCGAAATGTCGAATATCAAATCTACCAATCGGCGACTACGTACTGCAACTGTTTGTGGAAACACAAAATTTAAATATCGAGCATTAGTAGATATTGAAGATGAAGTTATTGTAGGCAGGGATATTATGAATATATGATTTGAACTGAACTTTCAACAAGGAATATTGTGGGTTAATGGAGAAGAAGTCGTGTTGCATCGATCGAAAGAGAAAAATATTCGCGTAATGCTAACAGAAGATACTTTGAAACCGAAACAAAGTGAGATGATATTGAAGGCTTTCTTGGATTGTAAATCAGAAGATGGAAGTATAATGCTTCTTGAGCCAAAAATTGATGATAAAGAGGTCGGTCGAGGAATTGTAGAAGGGAACACTTTAATACGTGTCAGAAAAGAAGTACCTTTAAGAGTATTGAATGTTAATGGTTACTCTGTAAAAGAAAGGAATCGATTTAGGAGACTGTTCTTAGGTTTTCTCAATTATTAGAAGCATTCGGCCAAGAAAATTAGCAATGAATTGACGACTCTGCTTTCGACTTCTTCAAAGGACAAACCAAATGAAAGAATAAAGCTGGGAGAGCTCATACACAATTATCAGGATGTCTTTGAAGAACTGTCCAGCATAAAATTAAAACAGCCCATTCTACAGTCGAAAAGAAGGGTGCCACTTGCCAAGCGAGAGGAAGCTGATAAAATTGTGCAAGAAATGGAGAAGGTAGGGGTGATCGAACCATCCAACAGCCCATGGTCTTTCCCAGTGCTGTTAGTTAAGAAAAAGGATGGATCAACCCGATTTTGCGTCGATTTTCGTCAGCTGAACAACGTGACGAAGAAGAACACATTGGCTGGATCACAGATATTTTCGACTTTGGATTTAAAGAGATGGTTACTGGCAGGTTGAAATGGCATCAGAATATAGAAAAAAGACGGCATTTACCGTGGGTGCTGGACTGTGGCAGTTTACTGTCATGCCGTTTGGACTATATAATGCCCCTGCAACTTTTGAAAAGCTCATGGAAATGGTTTTGAAGGAACTATCTTGGCAGACTTACTTGGTGTACCTTGACGACATTATTGTGGCTGGGAAATCATTTGAGGACCATATGAGGAACCTGAAGGAAGAGGGAAGTGCAGTATCTGGGCCATGTTGTTTCAAGCCAAGGAGTGGCTTGAACACAGGTGAATATGGTGCGGGAATGGCCAATACCCAAAAATAAACATGATTTAAGAAGCTTTCTTGGATTATGCACCTACTACCGTCGGTACGTACCAGGATTCGCAAAGGTTGCTAAGCCTTTGACAAGTTTAACAGAGTGAGAGAGACGATTCCAATGGGACGATGAGTGCCAAGAAGCCTTTAAGAACCTAAAAAACGCGTTGACTAGCTCACCAGTCCTGAGTTATTCTCTTCCGGATAGTGGATTTATTTTGGACACGGACGCCAGTCGCAGATTAAAGAGGGAAAAAAAAGTTATTGCATACTTCAGTAAAACTTTATCAAAACCAGAACGTAATTACTGCGTTACTCGACGAGAGTTGTTGGCAGTGGTAAAATCAGTCGAACACTTTTACAAGTACCTGTATGGAAGAAAATTCTTGCTTAGAACGGACCATGCTGCCCTAAAATGGCTTTTGCAATTCAAGAATCCTGAGGGACAGGTAGCAAGATGGGTTAAGAGACTACAGGAGTTTGACTTTGACATAGAACATCGGACTGGGACCATCCATAGAAAGGCTGACGCCTTGTCAAGAAGCCCGTGCCCGGAAGACTGTAAACATTGTCTCAGGGCCGAAGAAAAGGATGTGTTTATTCGCAGGACTACACTTGTGGATGATTATTGTCAGTCCGATGAAATTCAACCAGCAAGGGGACCCAGATTTGAAGCCCATCATCGACCGGAAGAAGAACGACCGCAAACCAATGTGGCAGTAAGTCGCCGAATGTGAAATCATACTGGGCCCAATGGAATTTCATTATCTTAAGTAACGGACTTCTAAAGCGCGTTCTAGAGACTTCAGAAAGGGAGGAAGACCGAAAGCAGAAAATAATCCCCAGAAACATTATAACAGAAGTGCTTCAGGAAATTTATGATGGAACTACTGGAGGACAACTTTGGGTGACGAGGACGCTTGGAAGACTTAATTAATCTGTTTTATTGGGTCAATTGTCAACGAGATGTGAAGGAATGGTGCAAGAAGTGCGCCGTTTGCGCGGCAAGCAATGGATCCCAGAAGCGCCCAAAAGCCCCAATGCGACAGTACAATGTGGGCAGCCCATTTGAGAGAATTGCAATCGACGTGGCGTCCATTTCCGGAAACAGAATCTGGAAATAAATACATTATCGTTGTAATAGACTACTTTAGCAAGCGTGGGAAAGCGTACGCCTTGCCAAACCAGGAATCTGCCACAGTAGCCAATGCCCTTATAAAGGAGTGGATTTGTCGTTTTGGTGTCCCTATGGAGATGCATTCAGACCAAGGCAGGAACTACACTACTCCAAGAAATTAACGCACCACTTATTATTTTGTAAATAAAATTTTCTATCAAAGTAAATAGTACAATGTTTATATTAATTTTGAAACACCCTCGTATATGACTTTTAAAAAGTGTGTAAACGTTTTTATAAGATGTTTAGTTTTTTTGTTATGTCGAATATACCAATTCTGGTAAATTACTACAACAGGTTAAAGTATCGCCGCGCCTCGCAGTTTTGTTAGACTTCATTAATCATCTCTATTTACTTTTTAATTTTCACTTATTGTCAAGATGCAACGGCAATCAAGAAATTTAACTCGCGATGAGTGTGCCCAAGTGGTTGTTTTAGTGCAAGAAGATTGGAGTTTCCGCAGAATAGCTGAAAGGTTTGGTGTATCCCATACATCCATTTCTCGTATGTATCAATGGTACATGGAGACTGGTGGCCATACTAGGAGACCAGGTCAGGGTAGAAATCGTGCTACGACTCCTGCTCAAGATCGTTTTTTAAGACTTTTAACTTTAAGACAACGGTTTGTGACTACAAGAATGTTGCAGTCTCAGTTGGAAAACGTAGAAGGGGTTCGAATAAGTATTCGACAACGACTTAGGGAAGATAATTTGCAACCCCGAATTCCTGCACGAGGCCCGCTCTTAACCGTGGATCATCGCAGAGCCCGGCTAAATTTTGCTAGAGAGCACGTCAACTGGGTAACAGCGGATTGGGAACGAGTTCTGTTTACAGATGAGTCTAGATTTTGTCTATACACATGTGATAGACGCGTTAGAGTGTTTCGACGGCCAAATAAAAGATATGTCCAATGTAACTTCCTTAATACGACCTTATTTGGTGGGGGCTCAATTATGGTGTGGGGAGGTATTTCTTTAACAGCACGTACCGACTTAGTGGTGATAAATAATGGCAACCTTAATGCTGAGCGTTACATTTTGAACATTCTGGAAAAACATGTTGTGCCATATGCCCCTTTTATAGGTCCAATTTTTTTACTAATGCAGGATAATGCACGACCACACACTGCCCAGGTAGTCCGAAATTATCTTCCTGCCGTTGGGATTAATGCTATGGCCTGGCCAGCTCGCAGTCCAGACCTTAACCCTATAGAACACATCTGGGAAATTCTTGGGAGACGTTTAAGGGACCATCAAAACCTTTCGAATAACTTAAAGGATGTAGAGCGCCTTCTACTGGACATTTGGGAGAATTTTGACCAAAATGAAATTCGAACCCTAATTTTGAGTATAAACAGAAGATGTGAGGCTGTCATTCGTAGTAGAGGTGGAAATACTCAATATTAAGTACAAATTTTTAATTTTTATAAAAATCGTATTCTGTTAATTTTTAATTTTTTGAAAAAAACATTATTTTTAGGGATTTTTTTCTGACATTATAAATAAAAACCTATTTTTAAATAAATATACAGATAGTGTGTACCTTTATCTTTACCATTTTCAAAACATATTAAAAATAATAAATTATTTTTGGTGTGGTCATTAACGAATTTTTTGGAGAAGTGTATATTGTTTTATATTTTTTGGTTGCCTACCAGGGGAAGATATTGCTGGAGAAGATTATGTCAGCAATTTACGTAAGAAAATGAGCGACATTCACAGCCGAGTTCGTTTAAACATCCATAGTGCCAGTAATAGAATAAAAGAGGCATACGCCATCAAGGCGGAGCTGCAGAATTCTTGGAAAGGACCATATCAAGTTATGGATTGCATAAATGACATCATCTACAGGATCTGGAAACAACCAAGAGGAAATCCAAAAGTGATCCATTTCAACCGATTGGCTCCTTACGCTGAAAACAATGATCAAATAGACGATGCTAGAGTAAGGAGAGTTAATCCGACTGAAGACGAGTTGCTTTTTGAAGACTTCATGTTTCGAGCGGTAAAAAAGCTCGGTATGGTGTCACTCGAGAAGAACAAAAACATCTGTTCACGGTTTCGGCCGATTACTTATTGGCCCTTTGTGTTGCAGAAGACCTTAGGATGTCCAGGGGAATAGTGGTTGTCTCAAGTTTAGACAGGTCGACGAGGTACTAAGGCAGAATCTCAAAGTTGGAGAGGTGCTTGAAACTGTGGATAATGAGCAGATAGGCAACAGAAGTATCTTCTATCTGGTAACGAAGCAGCTCTCCCATCAGAAGCCAAACCACCGTGACGTATGGAATAAATAATAAATTATAATTATTAAATTGTGCATAATTTTCTAAAAACAGTTTACACACCAATTTCTGTCATTTAAAAGTTAAATAGTTTGAAGTGTCCAAAAATAGATTGTTCCGTTGGAAAATTAATTCATGAAAAATGCCATAAAAAATATTATTCGCGATTTTCCAAGATTGAATCGTACTAAGGAGGAAAAGGATTTAATAGAATGGCAGTGGAGTGTATGCAACTGTAACCGATATTTGTACGTAGGTATCACAAATTAAAGTATCTACACTTAGCAGCAAAAGTATCGCATAATGTTAATAATCGTTATAATTCGTTTAAAAATAAATCTTTCTAAAACATTTTGAGAGCACCTGGTACACTAATAAGTAATTTTAATAAAACCATGTATTTATCTTGTAATGTACGTTTTTTATATATTTTTTTACAAAAATTATAAAAACCTAATATCGGAATATTATTTCTTTAGCATTAAAATGTACTTCAGTTGGTTTTCTGTAGTGCAAATGATCGTTTTACATTGCAATAATAAAAATGAATCAAGTTCAAAATCGAAATTTAACAGAGCAGCAATCTGTAATAGCTGTCACTCTGAGTAATGAAGGAAGAAATCAAGCGTACATTGCTCAGCAGCTAAATGTAAATCAGTCTACCATAAGTAGAGCTTTAAGCCGATTCAGGAAAACAGGGCAGTATACAAGAAGACTTGTAACAGGACGTCCAAGGGTTACTACTCTCGCACAGGACCGTTTTCTCAGATTAGTGACGCTTAGAACGCGAACTGTGACGGCGCCATATCTCCAAAATCGGCTCTTAGATGCCCATCAAGTGCAAATTAGTACAGATACAATAAGAAGAAGGCTTCGTGAAAACAATCTGACTCCTTACCAAGCTGCTACGGGACCGTTACTAACCGCAGCTCATAGGAGAGAAAGACTTCAATTTGCTCGAGATCATGCAAATTGGGTAGAAGATGATTGGGCCAGAGTTCTTTTCTCCGATGAGTCCAGGTTTTGTCTCTACAATAATGATCGACGTGTAAGGGTTTACAGACGTGAAGGAGAGCGCTACGCTCAGTGCAACATACTCCCCAGGGTGAGCTACGGAGGAGGGTCAGTTATGGTGTGGGGCGGGATATCTTTGCAAGCACGTACGGAGTTGGTGGTTTTTCAAAATAGGGCTCTCACTGCTCGAAGTTATATAGAGACAATTTTAGATCCCCATGTCATGCCATATGCCCCGTTTATTGGACCAAATTTTCTATTTATGCAGGATAATGCGCGCCCCCACAAAGCCAGAATTGTTCGTGATTATTTACAAGAGGTTGGAATTGCAACTATGGTATGGCCTGCTAGAAGTCCAGACCTGAACCCGATCGAACATATATGGGACAACATGGGAAGGCAAATTACAGCCCGTCAAAACCCACTAAACAGCCTAGATGACCTCAGAAATAGCCTACCTGACATATGGGAGGCGATACCTCAAAGTCTGCAGTTATTATGGTATGGGAGATTACATGCTGTTGAAAGTGAACTTGCAACTTAACAGTTTAAATAGTAAATAATATAATGTTATTGAGTAAACCACTGAGATTATAATATGTTGATTATATTGTGCTGGTGTTGTGTAGTGAAATTAGTATTTACTATCGAATTGTAACAATAGTTAAACAATATAAATTGGTTAAGTGAACCTAAAAACGTGCAAAAAAACTTCACCTGCTTGACATTGAACTAATAATTATTTAAATAAGGAAGAAAAAGTTAAAAAAGTATTTCCCCTGCTGGGATTTGAACCAGCTTGCTCTGGGTCCGCGAGAGCGCGTATTCGCACTGCGCTAGTCGTCGATCTGATAAACCTTTCTTTAACTATCGACATGTCTATCTGCGCTGAATGTAATGCTTCTGCTGCAAGAAAACCAACGGTTAATTGTGACGGGTTCTGCAAACGTCTTTTTCATTCTTCCTGTGTTGGAGTTCCTTCTGAAGTCCAAAAATTATTACCAACTTGTCCTGGGTTATCTTGGAAATGCGATAAATGTTATAATGATGTAAACGACAGTTTTTACACTAACTTAAAATCAAAGATAGAAACTCTTTTTGAGGATTTAAATTCTCTGTTTAATAATGCTAAAATTGATTTTAAACAAATGGCAGAAGAAAAGCTTAAATCCTTGCAACCTACGTCATCACCTTTGGTTCAAACCTATACAGAAAAATTAAGTAAAAAGTCATCAATAATTATCAAACCCAACGATGAATCTCAGCTTAACTCTGCTACAAAAATGGATATTATGAAAAAAATTAACCCTCTGGTAAACAACATTAATTCAGTTAAAAATATTAAAAACGGTGGCCTAATAGTGGGTTGTAATGATGTTAATGAAGCGAATAAGTTTAAGGAAATAGCTGATAAGGAACTGAAAAATTACAAAATTAAAGATGCAAATAAAATCCAACCTAGAGTCAGAATTGTCGGTCTTTCTGAAAAATTGAATGAGGAAGAGATTAAGCAGTATTTATTTTTACAAAATTTGCGACCAAGCTTCAGTTAAGATTGTGGAAATAAAAGCTTTAAAAAATAAAGACACGATTTATCAAGCTTTACTGCAAACCGATATAACAACATATCAAAAAATGCTGAAACATGGTTTTGTTCTTATTGGGCTAGACAGCTGTAAAGTGTATGATGCCATAACAGTACTTCGTTGTTTTTCTTGTAATGGCTTTAACCACGACTCCAGTGTTTGTTCCAAAAAAGATAATCCCATATGTGCCGAAAATCATTCTGTTAAAGATTGTCAATCAGTAACGCTAAAATGCATAAACTGTCTTAATTTAAAAAATAAAACTGGAGTGGATATTTGTCATGCCGCCTGGGATCATGACAAGTGCCAGGCTTTAAAAAATGTACTGGGGAAATTAAAACACGATGTCTTTGGGTTGCAATAGCAATCAAATTCTCTCCCACCTCGTACACATGAAAATAAAAAAGAACCTAACAGATTGTTAAAAATATACTACCAAAATGTACGCGGCTGTCGATCTAAAGTAGAAACATTGCATGCATCTGCCTGTGAAAAAGAGTTTGACTTAATCTGTTTAACTGAAACTTGGCTATCAGAAGACATAACTAGCTCAGAACTATTTCCGGATGACTATGGTGTTCTTAGGAGTGATCGCAACTTTGAAGCAGTTGGTGGAGTTTTGTTGGCCTACAATTCAAACTTTACTGTTGAGCGTATTAATTTAGATGTATTACAATCTCAACAACCTTGTATTGATATAGTTGGAGGTAGTATTACTTTTAATTTTAAGAAAACTTATGTTTTTGTCTTGTATATTCATCCTAGAATTTCATATATTGAGCTGGATTCATTTTTATATCTTTTTCATGAAACCATTATCCTCAAAGACAATTCAATTATACTAGGTGACTTTAACATTCCGCATTTTAATAACGTTATGGTTAATGATAATAGTCGGAGGATAATGGTAGATTTTTTAGAATTTTCAGATATGTCTCAATTTAATAATATCGTAAACGTTAATAATAGACTATTGGATCTTGTTATTGGCAATGTAAAATGTGAGGTAAGTAGAGAGTCTCACCCCTTATTAATCGAAGATATGTACCATCCAGCATAAGTTGTGATCGTTATGTTAATTAAAGAAAATGTGCCAAGTTTTCCAAAGGTTTCTGATAACCTAAAATATAACTTGAAAAAAGCTAATTTTCACGGACTTTATATGGCTCTGCTTAATGATGACTGGACTTTTTTGCACAATTTTAAAGATATTAATTTGGCCTGCGATGAATTTTATAAAGTTATTTATGATATATTTAATTTATTTGTTCCCAAATTTAATTTCAGAGTTAATTTTATAAAGTTATTTATGATATATTTAATTTATTTGTTCCCAAATTTAATTTCAGAGTTAATTTATAGGTTAAATACCCAAATTGGTATACACCCGATATTATTAATAGCATTAAACAAAAAAATAAATACCATAAAGAAGTTTCAAAATGAAAATGATCTTTTAATGTTTCAGAACCTTCGAAGATCTATAAAATCTAGTATTAGAGATGCGTACAAAAACTATATAAACAAAATCGAAACAAACATCTCAAATGACCCCAAAAACTTCTGGTCTTTTATTAATTCCAAAAAAGGTCATACAAGAATTCCAGGCAAATTATATGATGAAACTGGTCAATGTTTTGATTCTCCAGATACTATCGTCAATGGTTTTCAAAAGTTTTTTCAAAGTGTTTACTTGACGACAAATAACACTAATAAGATTAATAATAAAAATGCTTATACTTCTTCTAATATTTTAATACATGAACTAAACGAAAATGATATAACTCAGGCAATAAAAAAACTTAACAACAAAGAAACATCGGGTGATGATCAGATTCCTTCTTATTTAATCAAAGACTGCTTACAAATATTTTGCAAGCCACTGTTATATTTGTTTAATCTATCCTTAAATACATCAACCTTTCCAGATATGTGGAAGGTAGCCCGATTGTGTCCAATATTTAAGAACGATGATAATAGTTTAATTAATAATTACCGACCTATAGCTATTTTATCAAATTTTTTAAAGGTTTTTGAAATGTCTTTATATATGCGTATCTACCCATCAGTCAAAAACTCTATTTCTCTTCACCAACATGGTTTTATGGAAAACCGTTCAACGGTATCGAATTTGACTTATTTTACCCAATTTACCTCTGAAGTATTGGATAATCGTGGGCAGGTAGATGCCATATATACAGATTTTTCAAAGGCTTTTGATCGGATATGTCATCCTATTATTATTTCTAAGCTTGAGTTATTTGGTTTTTCGGAAGCACTTCAGAACTTTTTTACATCCTATTTAAGTAATAGATACCAGTATGTTTCCTATAGTGGTTTTAAGAGTTTAAAGTTTTTATAAACTTCTGGTGTACCACAAGGCTCTAATCTAGGTCCTCTTCTTTTTACAATTTTCATAAATGACATAGGCGACGATATTGTTTGTGAAAGACTTTTGTTTGCCGATGATTTGAAAATATTTAAAGAAATACGCAGTGTTAATGACTGTAAGACCCTTCAAAATGATTTGTGTAAGATTGAAGACTGGTGCAGGAAAAACCAGTTGGGTCTTAATGCAAACAAGTGTAAAGTAGTCACATATACTAAAAAAAAAGAAAAAAACATTCTTTGATTACACCCTAAACCTAAGTTTACTTTTCCGTGTCACCGTCATTAAAGACCTGGGAGTATTATTTGATAGCGAATTAAATTTTCTTAACGACATTAATAGCATAATAACATCTGCCAACAGAACCCTTGGTTTTATAATTAGAAATACCAAAAACTTTAAATGTCAAATGGCGTTTAAAACTCTTTATTATTCATTTGTACGCTCTAAGCTTGAGTATGGTTTTCTAATTTGGAATCCAATATACTCTAGTAATATAAGTAACTTGGAGAAAATTCAACGACGGTTTTTAAAATTCCTCTCTTTTAAACAAAACGGTGCATATCAAGATCAGGGTTATGATCACTTAACTCTTTTGAATGAATTCGGGTTTAGTTCCCTGCAGTTAAGGCGAGTCACGTTAAGTGTAAAATTTTTGTACAACTTGGTACATAACAAAATTGACGCTCCCCTACTATTAAACCAAATAAATTATTTAATACCAAGAAATACTCGTACCAACCTTACATTTTACTGCCCCAACGCTAGGTCGAATATTATTCTTAAGTCACCAATTTATTTTATGTGCAAAAATTTTAATAGGTATATACTGCAATAAATGTGACATTAACTTTAATAGTATTGGTTTTATAATTGATAGCTTATGTAAAAATTTTTTAGTCTAATCTTGTTATACCTCTTTTTGTATATATATATTTTCAATAATATTAGGACTTATTTTAATTTCTTGTATGTAATTGTTCTGTAAATGGATTTTATATCTGTTGGACAATAAACGTTATTATTATTATTATTATTATTAAAATGAGGTTAGAAACCTTATTATTAGCATGCCAAGAAGGTGTCAAGACGTTATTCGGGCACGTGGTGAAAATACGCGGTATTGAACCCGAAATAAAAAATATTGTTACAAAATTTTATTTAAGAATAATTTTTAATAATAATTTTATAATGGATTTGGTATTATTTTTTGTTATTAAACTGAATATATAATTATTTTATGTCTTTTATTTAAACTGTAACCAAAATTTACTAAAAAAATGTGTTTTTAAAGTTTTACAGAGATTTTTTAAATTATGCGATACTTTTGCTGCTAAGTGTATATTATTTTACCAAAGTATTTGGTGAAGTCTGCTGCGATCCATTTAAACGTCATAAGTCGTTAACTTATTCCTCTTGATAGACATTATACACATAAGAAAATTTTCCGATTCATATAACTTTTTAGAGGTAAAAAATAGTAAATAGTTTTTACTTTAATTAATTTTTTGTACATTTGATTATGTTTTCTTAATTTAAAAAATAAATATTTGGGTGGTTAATTTTTGACTCCACTGTATTTATATTTTTATTTAGAATGAATTAGAAGTCAATTCAAGGCTGTCGAGTTATTTTATTTTTTTCGAAATATATGGTTAATATATGGATTTAGTCACAGGGACATATACATCCACAGCCCAGCTAAAAGAAAAATACACAATAATTTTATTCATGGTTACTGGAGACTAATAAGAAAATTTTCCGATTCATATAACTTTTTAGAGGTAAAAAATTGTAAATAGTTTTTATAGGTGATTGTAAATGTTAAGAATATGATTTGTTCAGTTTAATTATATGCAGTTAAGTTTAATTTAAATTAAGGATTTAATACCTGTTTTATTTTGTCTAAATATAAAGTTTATGAAAAGTATGTCTTTAATTTAATTAATTTTTTGTACAATTGATTATGTTTTCTTAATTTAAAAAATAAATAATTGGGTGGTTAATTTTTGACTCCACTGTATTTATATTTTTATTTAGAATGAATTAGAAGTCAATTCAAGGCTGTCGAGTTATTTTATTTTTTTCGAAATATATGGTTAGTATATGGATTTAGTCACAGGGACATACATATCCACAGCCCAGCTAAAAGTAAAATACACAATAATTTTATTCATGGTTACTGGAGACTAATAAGTGCCTTTGATAATAAGCATAAATTGGTTTAAATCGACTCACTCAAACATAGCCTTTTTAAACCATGAAATGGCTGAAAATAGTGAATTTTAAATATATTTTTTTTAACTCTCAGCCGGTATTATATTAAAACGTTTTTATTGCTTTTATATAGAGTAAGATCTTAGACAATTAGACAATTTTGACAAAAAATTGCATTTTTAAAAAAATTCCCAAAGACCATTTAGGGCATCAATAACTAAATGTGCACGCAAAAGTTACTATGAATTGTACTCCTTTTGCTAATAAACCTATCAACATTAAACAAACTGTTAATTCTTAAGAAAATATTTCTCTTTTAAACCATATAGGACATGTCCTATATGGTTTAAAAGAGAAATATTTTCTTAAGAATTAACAGTTTGTTTAATGTTGATAGGTTTATTAGCAAAAGGAGTACAATTCATAGTAACTTTTGCGTAGCCCTGTATAAATAGGTGATAGGGGGAGAAAAGAAAAGGTGAGTTTTTTTACTTCTTGCGTCCTTGTCTATTTACAGTTAAAAAAAAATTATAGTATATATATGAGGTGCACATTAGTGGCTAATAAATGGAATTACCTTAAAGTAGCTTATCGCAAGACGAAAAAATGATTGGTTGTTCGTCGGAATCGCTGATTAAGGATATATTGGCAAAATCGTTATAACTGTGAATATAAAAAAATCTTATTTCCAAAAATAATTGATGAATTGGGCTGAAATTGATATAGAATTTTTATTTTGAGTCAAGGAAGCAATGGAAAAATTGCCGACAAATTTTAAAATGGAAAGGGTTTTTTTCTTATCGACTTCACGTGGTATCCACCATATATAATTCTTCTGTACGTGTGCACTATGAATGTCACTGAACTCCTCCTAAACGGCTGGATCCATTTTGATGTGTTTGTTTGAGTGTGTTCCTGGATAGTTTAGAGTCATAATTGGACCCGGTAGCTACCGGGTCCAATGGAGGCCACATAGAAGTATTAAAAAAAATGGTCAAAAGTCAGATTTAGAAAGTTAGTTAGAAATCCCGTCAAACCCATTATTCTTCAAGCTAGATAACCGCTCCATCAAATGACAGCCATTAAAATTCCCCCCTCCCTTTCTTCTTGTCATATTCTTAGTCTGAACCCAGCTAATATTTGAATTGCATATCTTTGTTCTCAGCGCTTTCGTTCATTGAATTTGTTACCCTTGCTATTGTGCGTTTCTGTGATTAAGTTTAGGAAAAAAATCTTTTGACCATGGAAGAGGAAGATATGTAGGTGCTTTTAATTTAAAACATAATTTTATTAGTTTGCTGCTTACATTATATGTTTACGAACGTTGTTTATTAAGTCGTTTTTGGGTATTCATGTTAACTAAAAAATATAACATATTGACGTTTTTGTTTACTTGTCGGGCCTTGTCGGGTTAATTTTTTTTTATAGATATGAAGTTTGGGCTATTGAAAATTTTATGCTGAAGTAAAACTGTCCGCCTACTTCCGCCATTTTTTTAAATTTAACTTCAAAGTTATTGATCAAAAAAATTTAAATATTTCAACTTAGTATTTTTTTCTTATTTGTCGTTATATTCTTTAGAAACTATCAAGATATTTAATAAAAAAGCATTATATAATAGCCTAAAGGAATGTGAAGAAAAAAACTGGATACAAAGTTTTCGTTAATGGAAGAGCTTATAGGTTTTTAAAGGGAAATATATGTTCTGCTTGGCCAAAAATCAATATCAAAATTTTTCTTAAAGTATCTATATTTTTTTGAAAATATTTTCTCAAAATTTTATTAAGATCGAAGCAGTAGTAGGTAAGGCAATTTATAGCGCGCTACCCCTCCTTCGTTAGCAAGCCTCGTTATTTTTTTTTACCTTAACAACAATATGGTATTTTTGCTTTCAAATTAATTTATTAAAAAAAGTAAATAGATTAAATTCTATGGAAATTACCTCGTATGTAATTTCGGTTTATTATAACCACAGACCAACAAACAAATGGACCGGTTTATTTACATTGAAAAGAGTGGAAAGGAACAAAAATAAATATTTTCCCTCAGTTGTCACATCTGACTTTATTTGCTTTGAAGTATCTATATTAGGGTGGTCCTTAGCAATAGAGGTGAAAGATATACTTTTAATATCGAATTGTCCCACCACTCCGTTTTGTAATAGCACAAGAGAAAAAAAATTACACAAAAATTTGAATCGCTAACTCAACCCCTTCACGTGCCTGTAAGGGGTTGAATTTCGACAAAATCCCCAATTTTTAAGGTTTTTGCCATTTACTCCGTAAAAGCCGCATATTTAAAAAATTGTACTTATTACAATCTTTTCGTCTATAAAAATTGTCCCTTGAGATTTTACCTTAGAATGCTCAATTTCCTGGAAAATTGCATTTGTGCATAATTACCACAAATTTAACGTTTTAGTAACTTGTTTTAAAAAAATATCAGTAATCATTTAATTTAGCACTAAATCCATTTTAGACCAATTTAAGGACAAAGGTTTAGAATTTTACGAAAAATTGTTTATTACTGGAAAACAGTGTCGGCTATATAAATTTAATTGGTGCAATTTATTATTTACCATAGTTTATCAAAAAATTTTAAATTTTATTAAAAAAATACAAATCATACAGATTTTATATCATTTTAAATTTTTATTATTTCTTTGAAAAAAAATATTAAAAATTTAAAATGGTATTAATCTTATCTCAAAAACTACTGGAATTAAAAAAAAAATTAGGAAACGAAAATTCATAAAATTATATAATTTTTTTAAATATTATATTTTCACTTAAACAGGGTATTCTGTTTTTCCTGGAACAACCCAGATTTTTTTTATTTTTTGAATTCTACTTACTTTTTTAAGTAAATATTGTTAATTTATATAATATATTAGAAAAAATATAATACCTTCTGAGTAAACTTAAAGTGTTAATTTTTTTTATTAAAAATAACCAACTAAATATTGTTATTTTTAATCTTAACTATAAAGTATTAATCTCTTTATAATAAACTAATCTACAAGTTTGTATGTTTAAGTTTATTTTACAAAATATTATACAGGGTGAGTTTTTTTTAACACAACACCCTTTATATTTTTACATAAATTACAAAATGCATGTCATAAATGACATAACATGCTATAATATAGCATGTTATACGATTTTAAACTGTTATTACTCGAAAAATAATTTTGACCAAGTTTTTAGTACTAATACCGACGTCAGAAATACTACTGCGGGAATCCACTTCGTGGTTAGGTCACAGAGTAGTAGGATAAAGTACCCCACCTACTTTATTTGTATTCATAAGCGCCACAGACCATTTCAAATCTTTAAATTGACCCAAGATGGATTATTGTGCTAAATCAAATGACTAATAAGATATTTTTAAAAAACAAGCGAAAGTTACTTAAATGTAAAATTTGTGATAATTGTGCATTTATGCAGTTTTCCCTGGAACGACCTATAATAGACGAACAAATTTTTTTTGTAATTAAAGTTAATGCCAAAAACCCCAAAAATAAAGGATTTTGTCGAAATTCAATCCTTTACAGGCACGGGAAGGGGTTGAGTTTACTATCCAAAATTTTGTGTGAATTTTTTTCTCTTGTACTATTACAAAATTTGGGGGTGGGACGATCGAATTTCAAAAGTTCAAAAATAAGGACCACCTTAATCTATATTTTACGTAAAAGATACTTGGAATCCACAACTTATTTAATATTTTTTATTTGATTTTATAGTGAAAAATACCAATAGTGAGTGATATAAAAATGGTGAAGCAGTGCTACGTTTGTAAAAGACTTGGATCCAAGAATTTAAAACTTTCTTTTCATAGGTTAGTTTATTTACAAAACAAACCCTGCCAGGGGCGTAGAAACTGAATAAATAAATAAATGAATTCACTTAAATTTAAGATTTAAAGAGCCAGATTCTATCATCTGGACAAGGTTAGTATTTTGTTATACCTATATATTTATATATATTAAATATAATTTTTACATAGGATTGAAAAACACAAACAAAAAATGTACAATTTAATGTTTTTATTTATTTTTAATATTTTTATTTAAATTATGATCTCAAAAACAGAACGCCACTGGTGTGGGAACTTGTTTATAAACACCCCTCCCCTTACTCCTTTACCCCTAATCTAAAACGTTCTTGGCAACAAAACATTGTGTATTTTGAATGGGAAAGGCCAGTCCATTTTGTTTGTAGGTCTGTGATAACAACCTATAGGTATAAAAAAGTATATACAATCTTTGGTGTGTTTTTATGTATTCATTATTCTGCAAATATGACTTCAGTAACACGTGATTCTTTAGAACTTGGCAAGACATTTACCAGAAAAGCATTGTATGATATCCTCAATAAATTTAAAGGAAAAAAACTGTATGACAAGTTTTCGTTAATGGAAGAAAAGCTTGTTATAAGTCGAGCTTTAAGGCTTTTCAAGAACGAATTTAAAAAGAAATGGACAGCTGCTATAGCTACAAAGACGTTTCTTAAAAAACAATGAACAATGGATCACAGCATCAATTGAACTGCCTTACTGGTCTGTACAACCTACAGAGAAACCAGGCCAACCAACTAAAACATTTGAAGAGTTAAGTGACCGCAGCAAGCGTCGAAAAACAAAAGAACTACGAGAACAGATACCTGTAGAGGAGTTGACATATGCAGCAGGAGTGAGTCAGCGCACTTCAGGAAATACCGATGCGTCAAAAATAATAAAAGAAATTATCAGCATATGAACTAGAGGTACGGAAATTCGCAAAAGTATTACTTCCGCTCAAAACCCAGTTCCTTCCTCAGCTAGATCCAATAGACCAATAAGCATTCGTTTCATTAATAAATCAAAATATGTCATTCAAGATGAAATAGCGTACGTTAAAAACCAAGTGGCACACCTATAAATTACCATTAAAAAAGTGGCAAGCTCGATCTGACAAAGAAAAAAAAGTTGTTAAATAAAAAAAGAAGAAATTCAAAGAGCCTTTAAAAAGGAAATGGGGCTCCTGGTAGATGTTCCTAAAGCGGGATTTGGAAACACTAACGATGGCAATACTTCAAGAAAATTCTTTAATGAGCCGGAATGCTCTTCTCGAATCACTGGCATTAATTTAGATTTAATAAGAAGATTTAAGGTAATCCTAGAAGTAATTTCAAGTGGCTACAGCATTGATGCTGAAAAATACGATGCCTACGCACTCGAAACTGCAAAGATGTACAAAGATCTATATGGTTGGCATCCTATGTCACCAACTGTACACAAAGTTTTAATCCATGGTGCCCTAATCATATCTAATGCAATTGTACCTATTGAAAATTTATCAGAGGAGGCAGCTGAAGTCCGCAATGAACACTTACGACAATACAGGTTAAATTTTGTTCGAAAATTTTCACGAATCAAATGTAACAGAGATATATTAAATAGACTGTTACTAAGTTCAGACCCGTATTTAAGCAGTTGCAGACCAAGGCAACATAAGAAGACCAAGCCATTTTTAAAAGAGGCAGTCAATCTTATAATCGCAGACAAACCGCCTTTACCTCAAACTGAAAACGAAAGCTACGAAGATAAAGAGGAAGAAACAACTGACGAAGAGGAAGAAGAAGCTGGCGAAGAGGAAGATGAAGATGACGAAGAGGAACATGAAGCTGACGAAGAGGAAGATGAACAGTTTGTCTGATTAAGGATAATTTAAGTTATCTTGACATGTTTATATATATATATTTTTTAAATAAACTCCGAATTACAATCAAATTTTTTTTTACTATTTTGGGCCTTATTATAAAACTTACGGTCAAATGATAACATTGCAAAAAAATACAATAAATAATTTTGACCGGTTTTTTTAACAAATACTCCTGCACGTTCAGGCAGGCAGAACAACCTCTGTCGGGCCCGCTAGTATTATATATAATTGTACTAAATAGAACAAATAAATAGTTAAATTAATTGAGCTACAAGGATACGTGTTATCTCTTTTTCATATCAGATCTAACTTATCTGTCTCTAATCGTGTCACCTAACAAACGGTCATTTGTCACCAATTTTAATCAATTTTTTACCATGAAAATTAGTTATTTTTGACTATTTAATTTTTACTTTGAACATGCGTTTAGGTACTTAGTTTTATTATATATATATATAAATAAGGTAAACAGACATACAATGAGAAAAAAGCTTAAGAAATTTCGTACATTTGATTTCTCTAAATTTGTCCAGTAACTTTTACTTTTAGTATTGTCTAGTAACTTTTACTTCTAGTGTTGTCCAGTAACTTTTAGTTTAGGTATTAATTTACCTCTTATAAATACAAAATCGTGAAGATTCAAAATGACAAGGAAGTTTTGATGTCAACGGGATAAGAGTCTTTTAAAATTCCTTGTCCGCCACTGTACTATGCTCCACACCCAAAAGTCCCACTTTGTTATTTGAATACAAATATTTGAGGTTATCTAATTTCGTCTTATTTTATCTCTAATATCATTTTGTTTTGTGTCAAATCCTTATTGGTTTAAATTTCGTGGTTTTCTATGTTTAAATTTGCGTTAAATTATGGATAATACAAAAATAATAATAAAAGTTTTATTTGATATACAAGTTTAGATAGTGAGTCCAGCTCAAGTGAAGAATCAGAATCGGAAACAAAATAAGTGGTCTTCAAAGAAATTTGGTTCTTCTATACTCTGTTTCTTGAACCCTTTGTTCTTCTCTAAGCGTTTCATAAACGTCAGTAGTTCCTATATAATTAATTTTCGCGAGGCGCAATATTGAATCCGCAAAGAATGCATTAAAATATATAAAATAAAACTATTAATTTCAGTTTGTTACCTTCCTGCACCCTCTGTGCATCTTCAGTGGACAAATTAAGAGTATATATTAAAGACGTTTCCCGATCTATAATACTTATTCTTTCCATAATTGGATGACAAACAAAAACAAAACAATTTTTTGATAAGAATATTAATTTTATGACATAAAATAAAAATTAAAAAAAAACTTCACAGAAGTGTTTTATCCGAAATCGGCAGTAAAGTAGTCAACAATCGGCAGTAAAGTAAAAGAAATCGGCAGTAAAGTAGAATTTTACTGCCGATTTAATACAAGTAGTATTGTATGCAACCCATTATACATTTTAAGATGTACTGCTACTCAGCAGCAACTAAATAATATTAAAAAAGCACCGTCGCGGAGGTCGATTGGACCCTTTCATAAAATAATAAGTTAATTTTATTAATTAGATTAAAAAATCGCCGCGGCGGGCAAATATATCATAACCGTCGCAGCAAACAGTATACGTAGACACTTCGTACATTCAAATGACATTTGATTTGATCATCAAATGACATTTGATTTGATCATCAAATGACATTTGATTTAATCATTAATATTAATTATTATTATTATTAAATTTAATTTCGGATAAAATTTAATAGGCACCTCGGCATTAAAGTCATTTTTTATCATTTACGTGGTTATTTTATAGCTAATTTACAAAATTTAATTATTTTTATGGAAATTTAATTTTTATTGCAAAAAATCACCTAAATAAGATTATGTTATGTTATTTAAAAACTTAACAGATCAATAATTTCTTTATCCCCTACACTTTATTTCCGACTTAATTCAAACTGATTCCCCCCGCACAGCACGTGCAGTATCGTGTTTAAATGTTTTTCTCGTTCTGAAAAGCAATTTTATTCGAATTCTATTTATTATATCAAGTTTATATCTAATTAACAAAATTTAATTATTGTTTTGAAAATTTAAGTTTTATAGCTAATTTACAAAATTTAATTATTTTTATGGAAATTTAATTTTTATTGCAAAATATCACCTAAATAAGATTAGGTTATGTTATTTAAAAACTAAAAATAAATAATTTCTTTATCTCCTCCACTTTATTTCCGACTTTATTCAAACTGATTCCCCCGCACAGCATGTGCAGGATCGGTGAGAGGGGGGGGGAATCTCAGCTCACTTTATGGTGAGTGAAGCCAAAAGAACGCGCACATATGCAAAGTTTACCGATGTGAGCTGAGATTAACTGAGATCTCAGGCGAAAAGAACGCACCTACTATAAATGGCTTTTATAATTATAATGATTATGATTATAATCAATAGCTTACATGGGTTATAGACTTTTTAACTTTTAGTAAAACAACAAATTTGAAAAACCAATTTTGTAGAACATTGAATGCTTATAAAGCTTATATTTAATTTTTTGGTCTATCATCTAAGTAAAATGTGAACGATAGCAACTTGACTCCATAATTTTTTTTTTAAGAGTGGAAGGAAGAAAAAAAACCTGTCGTACTAAATTAAATTAAATTAGTTCAATGTTTTTAGAATGTTTAAATCCTTTGTAAGAATAAAGTAATAATATTATTAACTTTTGTTTGGCTTAAATTTTTAAATTAAATATACAAAATACAATTTAGTGTGTGATAAAAATCTTTAAGATAAATCTTATCAAACCCAAACTTCTCCCACAGAAAATATCTTATCAAGCAGTAATGTTGTATTTATTTGATTAAAGATTAAGATTACCATAAAATAAAACAAATATACTATAAAGTTACTTTTATCATTATTCAATATAATTTTTATTAAATTCATCTACCACAGCTCTTATTATCGGATATGTTCCTTTCCCACAAACACCAAGAAAATCGTCGGTGTCCAAAGACCAAAACATAACGCCACCTAAATTTTTGGACTTTGCAAATTTGGTTTTAATAACTGCCGATTCCGGTGACTCATAACCAACCCATTGATTATCGGAAATGAGGTGAGGCACTTGTTGCTCTTCATCCCAGATGTATTGCCAATCATTATACAACTCACAAATCTAAAAACAATTTAAGGTATTTTTATAATTAATTCTTAGTAAACTGTTACTTCATTATATCCTAAAATTCCTTCAGAACGTGTGTAAGGACCAGCTCTACCACCTCCTATAATGCTTGCATACAAAGAGGTGTTCGTTGCATCTGTTAAAGTGAAACTTTGTCCATATGTTGGAAAACCAATGTTCATTTTACTGACATCAGCTCCCAAATCAATCCAATATTGAATACCAGCAGCCTTTAATATTGATAAAAAAGCTATTTTAATAAAAATGATTATTTTTTGACGTTACTAAGGCTGCGAGTTGGAGCTGTGATAAACGATATGAACATCGCAACGCGTCGTTCCTGTCGTTACTAGCAATGAAACGCGTTTTAAAAGACGTTGCATCGCTAGTAACGATTAGGACGACGTTCTTATCGTTCCACACAGCTCAAACATAGTCGCGGCCTAAGAACCATCAAAAACTTTTAATTTCAGTTATGTCACAGGACTCATGTGTGTTCGTTTGAGCGAATAAAAATTATATATAGTGGAAATAGTCCCACTATATAAAATTTTAAAAAAATTAAAAAAAAAATAACTCAACGAATACCACATGAGAGATAAGTTAAAAATATTTCTCTATGTCTTTCTCAAAATTCTTGCCATTTGACAATAGATACTCCACCCAGACAGCCATATCAGGTGAAAACTTGGCCAGAAATTTCCCTTTCGCCGTTGGAAAAGTACAAGATATGACTTTATATTCCTACTTTTTTATGCAATTGCGATGGAGGAACTTCTTTCTCAAACCTTGGTTTTCTGTGTACGGGTAATTTTAATTTATTCTTACTCTCTTGTGGTATTTCTACCGAGAAAAACTAAGTGACATTGTGTCTAAAAACTCCTTGTTTCCAAAATACAAAATGTTTAAGTTAAATTGTATATTAAAACATGCACTAGGTATAGTGTATACTTTTTATTTTTGTGTAGGTACCTATTTAACCCATTTAGTCCTACTGTACTTTATAAAGCACAGCGCTTTTACCTAATTCTAAGAAATAGTTGCGCTCCTTAAATTGAGATGTCGCCACCAAATATGCATCGAATAGGGTGTTCTTTAACTAATATTACAGTATTCTGCCTGCAGCGAGAGATAAAGGTTATGTTGACCGACTCTTTGTAAACACGTGGTACACGGATTTTTGCAATGGACAATTGGAGGTAAGTTTTTCATGTTTTTTTCATAAAATAAAATTAAAATTTGTATTAGTTTTAATAGTATATTAGCTAAATTGATTACTACAAATCATATTTTATTTTTTATTATATAATTAACGGCAAAATTGGAGTTAAAATTCTATAGTACTTTTAAAAGGCCAGTAGGACTAAGCACTATTATTAGGCGGTATTATGTGTTTTTTTATTTTAGTGATAGAAAACGCCCCCTTACGTTAGCTGAGCTTATTGAGGAACTAGAAAATGACGATACACTGGAAATACCCAATAGCATTACCATATTTCCACCAGATAACTCGAATGACCCCGTTACTGATGAAGATTCAGGAGAGGAAGACAATATAGTTATTGACAATTTACCAGGATCTCAATTGAGAGTGGAATGTGAGGCAGAGGAAAAGGTTAATAGCTCCAATGAATGGGATCCTGACGACTTACCTTTAATCAACTTTGTTCAACACAAGCCAAAAAAAATCAAACATTTTTCGTACTCAAAGCAAGATCTTACTCATACCACTTTTCTTTCATGGACTCCACTTCAAACTGTAAAAAATCAACGATCTCCCGCTTCCTTATTCAAGTTATTTTTTGATGACACTGTTATGAGTCAGATCCTGAATCATACCAATCTTTATGCGCGCCAAAAAAATCTTCTTGGTGATGTAACAATTGATGAACTATTCTCCTTTATTGGTATAATGGTTCTCAGTGGCTACTCCTCGGTGTCAAGACGAAAAATGTATTGGCAAAATGCGGACGACACTAACAACAAACTTGTTACTGCAGCTATATTCCGAGATCGGTTTCAGTACTTGATGAATAACATTCACTTCAATAATAACAGTCAGCTGGACAAAGAAGATAAGTTCTCAAAAATGCGACCACTGTTTAATTCTCTAAATATTAAGTATGTTGAAAATGCACCTATAGAGGAATACCACAGTGTTGATGAGGCTATGGTTCCTTATTTTGGGCGCCACGGATGCAAACAGTTCATCCGAGGAAAGCCAATTCGTTGGGGATACAAAATGTGGGTAGGTGCAACACGACTTGGATATATTGTAAATTTTGATCCATATTAGGGCTCAAACTCAAGCATACCTGAAGAATATTCTCAGTTAGGTTAAGGATCTGCTGTAGTTTTGAAATACTCCGACGTGCTAGACACTTTACCTTACGGTCCTTTCCATTTGTTTTTTGACAATTATTTTACTTCTCTTTCTCTTATGAGAGAGCTCAAACGCCGAAACATAAAAGCAACTGGAACAATAAGAGAAAACCGCATTCCAGGTAGCCCCTTACAGTCAGCAAAAGACATGAAAAAGAAAAATAGAGGATCTTTTGATTACGCTCTTGCAGATGATGACATAGTAATTTGTAAATGGCATGACAATAGCGTTGTTAGTCTGGCATCTAATGCATCGTCTGTTTTTCCACTGGGCAAAGCTAAAAGATATTCTCAGTCAGAAAAAAAACACGTACAAATAGACCAGCCCTGCCTAATTAAATTGTATAACGAAAATATGGGCGGGGTTGATAGAAGTGATCAGAATATTGGTCAATACAGGACTACAATACGTGGAAAAAAATGGTATTTTCCATTATGGTCTCACTGTGTCGATATGGCAATACAAAATGCTTGGCACTTGCAAAAACTGGATGGTGGTACTTTGGATCAGTTATCTTTTCGGAGGTCGATTGCTGTGGAGTTATTAGAGACCCATAAACGTACTACAAAAAGGGGACCTTCAAAAGCACCAAAAATCAGCACGAACATTCCCGTTACGATGGAAGAGGTCACTTAGTGGTGTATTGTGAAAACCAGCGCAGATGTGCCCTCTGCCATAAAAGAGCGAATTTTGTTTGTCATAAATGCCAGGTCGCTTTGCACCCAAAAGAATGTTTTTTTAATTATCATACTGTCTAAAACTCACCTTATTTAATATTTACTTTGTTTTGTTTTCCTTGAACGTTTTTTTAAATAAATCAGTATATTGTCCTACCGGCCTTTTAAAAGTACACCCTTTTCCGACAAAACAAAAGATGTATTATTTTTATTACTATTTTATAGATGTTTATTGCATCATTTTAAACCCATATAAACAAAAAAGTTGGTGTTAAAATAAAAAAAATAGTTTTAGGACTTAATGTGTTAATTTCTAACATAAATTATTTACGGACATTTTTTGGTTCTGCTTTATTTTATCGGTATTATGGATTATCCGGAATATTTAATATTGTACATTTTTACTTACAACATTTAGTTGTTTAAGTTCGTCTGTATTATCTAAACTGGAAGCATATAGTGGAGCAACATGTCCCACGTAGCTATCAAACTTTCCATGAAAATCGTAGGTCATAATGTTTAACATATCTACAGCACTAAATTCATTTAAAGGTTTTAATTTAAAATTAAAATTAAAATAAATTTACTCACTTTGAAACTTCAGGTACTATTATTGAAAGGTCAATGGAATGTTTGGCACCTGGAGCTGCTATCGACAGAATCAAACCTTCGTTGTTTAAAGCTGTTTTTAGTTCTTGTAGCAGAATTACAAAGTTTTTCTAAAAAAAAACATAGTAGGTATAACAAGATTCATTTTCGAACAAAGATCTGACACCATATATAGTATCAAAGTGCATACTATAGTAGAACTTTTTTGTATCGACTCAGCCCGATAAAAATTATTGACTTGTATACATTTATGTAAAATTATATGCGATTGGATACGATTATATTTGATTATACACAACATGTTGTGTGGATTGTGCGACAAATCTCCAAGTATTAGGGGAAAGTTAGGTAATCAGGCCCACCGGGTAATCATGCCCACCATATTAATAATGCATCTGTTAGGGGTATGTTATAGGCACCGTAAACACGGGTGGCTTTAGCTCACTTTCAAACTTAATTTTTGTGGTTTTGACAATCATAAACATTAAATATTGTATATCAAAATTTGAGTATTGAGTTGCTCTTTCATAATATCTATGTTATAATCTTACATAGGGCTGCGTTTCAAAAATAAAAATTAAAAACTAGCAAACTGTGCAAAGTTACCCCCTGGTTGTGGGTAACTTTGTCTCACAGTATAAAATTAACTTAATATTTTATTTTATTTTTATTAGACACATGTTAGCAGGGACATATAGCAATTGCAAGGGATTACCGATAAAAACAATAAAAAATCGACCTGTAGTTAACCAAGGATTATCATTCCAAAAGATTGCGCATAATATAGAAATTGTAACGCGTGTATTTTTAAGAGTTTTGCACTGATGCAATATATACAATTTTAAAGTGTATTAAATCCCATTTATTTCTTTAAAACACTGATTTTCCTGTAATATACTCAATAGAATCGCTCAATTTACAGGTTTAGACCAACAAATTATAAATGTTCATTTTATCAAGCGCGAAAAGATTTTTCATAAAAGGATTAAAGTCACCCGCGGGGTGCAAAGTCACCCATGTTTACGGTAACCGTAGCGCCATCTATAAAATGTGTCTTAATTTTTTTAAGTCTGTATTATCGATAGTTAAAGTTTGAAGAAAACTTTTATTATTTATGCTGTTTTGATCTAATTAAACAGTTAAATTCATACCGGGAAAAAATATTTTAAATAAACAAATTTATTTCATATTTTGCTTGCAAATCAATAATATTTTTTCTCATAAAAATCACCGTTTTTAAAACGTAAGTAATGTTTTTAATATTTTCATAACGAATTTGTTTTTAACGTAATTTGGGGCAATAAGGCCTATCTGGGCTCATTAGTAAAAATTCTTCTCTCAAGATGCCTCGTAAATACGTCGAACCACTGAAAAGGCTAAATGGACCGCGGACTTCGAAATCGAATGAGAGCTGGCAATTTGACAGGGCCTAAATTAAGAAGAAAAGAAGTTTTAACAAAGGCTTATAAAGAGGAACTATTCAAAAATATTCTCAAAATGGCCAAGTTATTCTTTGGTATGTCAGTTAGCCTACGACGACAAGTATATTCCCAACAATTTTAATAAAAACACTAGGATAGCTGGGAAATATTGGCTTTATGGTTTTCTCAGTCGTAACAAAGAAATCTCATTACGAAGACCGGAAGCAACAAGTCTTCACATAGTTACGGCTTTTAATACGAAGAAAGTTCAGCGATTTTTCACAAATTTGGAAACTGTTCAAGATCGCTATAATGTTCCACCGGGCAGAAAATTTAACGTAGATGAAACCGGAAAAAACATACGCCCCAAAAGGTCAAAAACAAGTTGGCAGTAGAGTTACTTGAATACGGGGAAAAACTGTATGTTGTGCTTTTAGTTCATCAGGACAATATATCCCCCAATGTTCATCTATCCCAGACAAAGAATGACACGTCTCTTGCAAAAGGGAGCCCCCCCAGTGCCATATATATATATTAATGCTCAAAAAGTGGTTGGATGACGAAGGAACTTTTTTTTAGTATGGCTGGGTCATTTACCTATTATGGACAACCATTGTAGCCATGCGTCACTGACAGCATACAATTTTTAAATATAAAATAATATGGTGGTATTTCCCATACTACCTCATTCTTCACATAGACTTTAACCACTTGACGTCACTTTTTACTAGCCGCTCAAATCATCATACAACAGAAAAATGGATACTTATATGAAAAATCATCTTAACGAGAAAGTTACTCCTTATGAACTGGCTTCTATATTCAATGCAGTATATAGTTGTTTGGAGTCACCAAAGGCTTTAAAAGAACCGGAATCCATTCCTTAAACCCCAATATGTTTGATGAAGAAGACTTTACTTCTGCAAATGCTTCCTCCAGAATCTATACAAGAGCCTAAAACGTGTCTGTGAAGGACATGCTTGCTTTGCCCGGACCTTCCAAAAGTTCTAAACCAAATAGTAAAAGGAAAGTTCAAAATTCTAAAATTTTTTCATCAAATCCTCTAAAAATTTGTAATGAAGAAAAAGAAGAAAAAAAATTGAAAAAAGAAGGAAAAAAGACCAATGAAGCAGGTTAGAAGAGTAAAACGAAAAGTATTAGATGGGATTATGATGAGCTCGACGATATTGAAGCCTGCCATCCTAAAGATGTTGAAAATCAGTGTATTATATGTGGCGAGTTCGGAAAAAATAAAGAGTTATGGTACTTATGGGTAATGTGTCTTGAGTGGGCGCATGCCGAATGCTCAGGTTTGAGCAAATATTCGGCATATATATGCGATTTAAGTAAATAGAGAGTCCTCATTACCCAACTAGACGGACAATGAGGCCAATTTTACTTTTTTATATTTTTATTAAAATATGTTCTTTCTGATTATAATAAAATACATTAAATAAACCTTAAATTACATAAACTTACATAATTTTGAAAAAATAACCAAAATATTGACAAAACTGCCTAGGGGTTCCTCATTACCTTACGCTCCCATAAGGAAATTTAAAAAAATATTAATTAAAAGCCAAAAAAATATTTTTTGTTATAATACCGTAGCTATCATAATGCACATTGTAATCTTAATACAAATCTACTTACAGGATCATTTTCTACGTTGCCTCCTCGCTGTGCAGGATACTCCCAATCCAAATCAAAACCATCAAACGAATTATTTTTAAGAAAAGACACTGTTTTTTGTACTAAAGTCTTTCTTTTAGCAGGATCGCTTGCCATGTCTGAGTATTTTTCAGACCCTTCGTTCCATCCACCCATACTGGCCAAAATTTTTAGATCTGGATTAGAGTTCTTTAAAGCCATCATATTCGAAAGTTCATCTAAAATTTACATAATACTTTAATTTACTTACTTATATACTTTAATAAATTGTTTTCTTACGTAAACCATTAAGTTCCCAATCATCCAGTATTTGAACATCAAGGTCCCATCCCAAACCAAAGAATCCATAGCATATATGGGTACATAGGGATGGGTCTATATTTGACACCTGAAATTTGCCATTTCCCGGCCTATAAATAGTCCAGCTTGCAAAATAACAAACCACATTACCTTAAATTTTATATTAGACATAACATTTTAAGTATTAGTTAAATTATTTGTTTTACCTGAATTAGCAAGTTCCAATAAACAAGAAAAAAATGGTATAAGAAAGTAGTAATTCATGGTTGACGTTTTTTATTGATTTGGCTTGAATTAAATTAGGTATTTTGTTGTTACTTTTATACATAAATATTATCAGATTAGGATCAAAAGTTTGTTTTTGTTTAAGTGGTTTACTCGCTGATAAACTGTAACAACTTTTAGTTTTTAAGGTAATTATTTGTTTAAGGATTTAATTACTAATTTTTAAAAAGGGGTGTGCGTATATTTTATAAAACATTAAATTTTATTAAATTGTTATTTATTATTATAAATTGTTATATATGTTTATAAAATTATTAGTATTTTGTATTTTTTTTATTTTTTTGTAAATATAAAGTAGACACCCTGATTTCCTTGACAAAATTAGGAATATTTGCTGCTTAAGTTGGCCAATAACAGGTCGAGTTTAGGCTTAAAGTTGTCAAAGCGTTCAGGGATTGTTTTAGTAGACGCGAGACTTAAGAAGACTCAACAGAAAAAATAGCAGGGTATATGATTACAGGGTCTTGCTGGCCAAATTATGTCTACATTACCTGAAATTGCTCTGCTATGAAATTTATAACGCAATAAATCAAGGTGTGCCAGTAGAATCATAGGGGGAATTTGTATTATATTTATTGTTATTATTATACTAAATAATAAAAAACATGTTAAATATGGTGTTCTTATTCGAACATCTTTTATATTGTCTCGATGGCAACATAATTTATAATTCAAATTTTTCTTAAAATTTTGACAAATAAGAAAACATATTATAAAGAACTCATGTCCTCGTGCGAAAAAATGACGTCTTATAACGATAGTTCTTTAAAATAGGTACTATTATCTAGGACTGCTAAATGATACTACATAAGACTCTATTTGTCAGTTTAAATTTAATTTGCTTTTTTATAACTTCTAAACCGGACCGATTCTACTCAAATTTTGTGCAAGTAAGGTAAGGTAAGGTTTCTCCTTTTCCCCCATATTTTCGACGTCACTGGATTTTGTTGAAAAATCTTTAGATTTTTTATATCCTCATTAAATTCAAAAGCGTCACGTTCGAACTATTTACGAGGTAAGACATAGTAACCGCGGTTACTATGTCTTACCTCGCGAGACCTCGCTTAGAACCAAAATTGTTCATCCCACAATAAAATACTTCAACAGTGCAAATAAACTATAATGCTTTGTATCTACCTTACTGTCAAGAAAGTAATAGAAGTGATAAGTGACAGCATACCTGGCGAACGAATCACATGGCAGCATTCTATGTGAAGAACAAACGAGGCTAACCAAGAATGGAAAGGGTCATCATTTGCAAAGATTTGATAAGTACTCTTAACTGAATGCTTGACATAATAAGTAAATTTGCAACATTAACCACGTTCAGATACCTACACAACTCTAAGAACGGTTTTTTTTCGTTTAAACACAACCCTAGAAAAAAAACCAAAAAAAACAATGTAAAACAAAGAGCAATAGGAACATTGATAATTATTATAATAAGACAATAGTCACAAAACAATACAAAACAACAATTAATCCAAAGAGTCCCAAATCTTATCGATGGCACTCATCGGATTAAAGCTGAGCAAGACCAATAAATCAATCACCAAGAAAGTCACAAAATCCATAAACTTAAAAAAAACCTTTTTCAATAAACCGAGACATAAATAACCATAGGAACCTAGAAACTTATAGACCCTACGTAATACAATATTCGAACTCAACAGTCGTTACGAAAACTTAAAAGACAAAGACGGGCAAAACAATACGTACTTAAACCACAGTATAAAGAACTGTATACTGTAATTAAACGACTAGGGCAAAAACGGCTCCTGGGTAGGAGTAGAAACAATACTAGCCGCCTCGGATGTCTTCAACGTCGCAAGGAAACCACAGGGGGGAGACAGAGTGACGATCAAGCCGTAGCCTACGACAAGGAAGACAAGTCCCTACAGCTAACTAACAACTCCCCAACTTTAAATAGTAATCCCAAATGTTTGAAGTAATACTAATTTTCCGGTCTAGGGGGATTCCGCGTCGTACACAGATTTGTCCCCTGAACCCCAAAATGTCTGTCCCCCCGTCCCACCTTCTTTTGTTCCTAATGGGCGTATAGCAACGGCACGGTGAATCTGGGAGAGACGATTTAAACTATTCGCATGTCGCTCTCGAGCCCCAAATCTGGTATAGTACAGGACGCGGTGGACGGAAAAAAATTATCGTACGGTAACAAAGGCTTGTGCGAGGCTCGGGAGAGATGAGGCAATGCGGCTAGTTATACTACTCTTATACTCATCATCCTCATTGAATTCAAAAACGAAATGTTCACAACAAGTACCCACACGTAACTGCTTATTTTTATTATATTTTATTTTTAATCAGTTATTTAGTAAAACCATTGAGTAAGAAAGTTCTTCTTCTTTACTCAATGGTAAAACGGCAAAAACAAACTATAACAGATTTTCAAAATGCATTATCCAGCATCCATCCAAACACATTTGACAGCGCTGTAAAGAGGTTTGTTTGTTTGTTTTTTACTGCTTACATTAATCTATCAATAATTATTCTTCTATAATCCCTACTGATGTCGCATGAATACGATCTTTGACACTTTTCCAAAAGTACTAATCTAACGGGTTGAAGTTAGGTAATCTGGTCGGCCAAGATATTGGCCCAAAACGCCCAACCGAAAGTTGCTGAAACCTAACGTATTGGCTTTGTAATGTTACTGTATTACAAACACGTACTATTGCCACACTCCGCTTCGCGGTCGTGTGTCATAATAACTCGATATCACAATAAGGGTCATTGTAACACTCGTTTTACAAAATACTATTGTTTATTTACCTACAATAAATCCCATATACTACAAAATATAATAAAATGATTAAAAAATAATGACACAAATATATTACTACATATGCAAAATATGTAAATACAAAACAAAGGCAAACTTAATGCATAGTGCAATATTTTAATCATGCATAGCCTTTAATATATTATATATATGTATAAATATATAGCGGGTATTTTTACCACTTTTTCCTCTAAAATCAGTTGTTTCCATAGACCAAGCCATCAAACCCCCTAATCCATTCTGTTTTACATATTTTGCCTAAAATTATTATTTTGTATTTAAAACGTAAATTAAAATTATTTTTTACCTTAATCTTAATGATTATTGATTAAGGATTATCATAACCAACCCATTGGTTACCATTACACTGAAAAAAATTTAGTCCATAATATCAATTAATACTGTTTATTGACTAATATTTTATTGGGACAACGATTTTTTCATTAATGTAAACAAATGTTATGTACGGTATTTTATTAACTAATCACGTGGTTCATCATCATCATGAACTAGTAGTTATTGTAATAGTAATTAATTTTACATTAGTCAATGTATACTATTTATTTTGACAACAAATTTTTTATTAGTCCAGTAAACAATTTCATTAAATACATGAATTTGTTGATTAATCTGTATGAACAACTTTTACTAAATTGTTTCGTTACGATAATGTAATAAAGTATTAAATGATAATTTGTCCATTGGGTTAATGTTTTGCGATTAATTTCCGCAACGAACAAATAAAATGCTTGATTAAAAGTATACATTAAATTGACAAACGCATTCATTGAATAAATGTACTGTCCTAACGATAAAACAATCATTGAATTAATGTACACAGTTAATGTTAATTATATTAACGTACAACCAAACAAATGAAATATAATAAAAATTATTAATATTGTCTCAACTTAGGGATTAAATTGTTTTAATGAATGTTTACGTTGGAACAATAATAAGGACATGAAAATTCTTGACAAGACGAGTTTGAAAACTAGCTCTGCTTAGTTTCCTTCATTTGAAAAATAGTGAGGGCATCAACTGCATGAAAGAGGATATTTCTTAGTACAGTGTATTTCTTAGTGAATGCCTTTTTTTAAAAAAAGGTAATTATAATTTAGTTCTTAAATATAATTTTGATAAACTGATTTATTAGTATTAGGCTTTACAGGTTTAAAAAACCCTTATAGCGTCTTATCCTAAAGCGTAGGAAAACTAATTTAAATTTCGGATAGTTAGAGTCGAAACACGATGTTATGCTTTATTTGCAAATAAAATTAATTTCCTAAAATTACTTATATTGCATTTTAAACGAAATCAAGATTTTACCAAAAATTCAGTATTTAGATGTTTTGAAGATGCCTAATTGTGGTCAAATTTTTTAAAACTTAAGTAGTTTTAAAAAACATATCAATAGAAAACATTTAAACAATAATTTTTTGAAAAATTATTATACCCAACTCAACAACGATCCAAACGACGTTCTAAATAGAGAGCTTGAAATTAATGTTTTAAATGCAAAAACATCAGGTAATCAAACACAAATTAATAATAATTATGAATCCATCGGCATGTGCTTCCAGAGCATCAACTCCACCTTGCCAAGAACCGCGTTTCGCACCATATTGTATTTCTAATAAAAAATCAGACGATTGTGACATATTTATTTAATATATTAAATGAAACTCCTTAAGGTTCTATGCTTGTGGAATATTACAATACATTTTTAAAATTTCAAGATGAACAGCTAACCTCAAACTTGGTAGCGCAATTTATTAAAGATAAAGGTGTTCCAATTACCTTAGCAATCAGTTATAGACCAAAAAGAGAAATTCTAGACAGATTTCCGACTGAAAAATTGGTATGTTTAGTGATCTTTAGTCTTTACGCCTTAAAAAGATTGTCACAAAATATTCTCTTTATATTTTAGGAGTACTATCGTTCCACCAAGAGAAGAAGAATATACAAGAAATTTTGCAATTTTTATAAACTAAGTCTGTGGTTGGTAAACATGTTGTTAAGTTATATTTGTATTGTTTAAAAAAAATAAAAATAAAACAAT